AAGTGTACTTAGAGAACCACATAAAAAATGTTAACTAATATCAAAGTCGATCTATCTTACACACTAAATGATTATACGATACTAAGAACAAATTACCAGTCTGCTGATCTTTAACTCCTGAACACAGTGGGGTTGATACATAACCTCCAACTTTTGAGGGTTGCAGTTCAGGATCTTTGGTACTGTCTGCACTAAGATCCAACTGACTTCTTTGAGATCTGGAGTGGACGGCTGATTTAATATTCGTTCGTATGATATTATGATAAAAAGTGTGAAAAGTTTATTTTTAAATACTAATGAACAGTGAACAAAGATAACATTTTCTGCTCTTCAGTTGCGTAAAAGATGGAGAAATCAAGTCTTAGTCGGAAAATTTATTAGATAAGCGAAAAACTTAGTTAGTTATTCAGTTGTTGCATATACATTTATTGGCAACGACTTTGTAAAAAAATTAATAAAGTCGTTTACCGAAATCTGCAGTCTAAAAACCAGAGACTACATTGAACAGCAGAAAGTAATTAACGGCATGTAGCGCATGTAGGTTTGGAGGCTAAAAATTAGTTTGATATTGTGCAAAATAAATTACAATAATGGTATCACGAGTGGTTTTTAGCGAAATGGACATCCTCATCAATCAGGAATTAGACAAATCGGTTTAAAAATTATCGCATACACCTACATACTTTTCAGGGAGAAAATAATACATAGAATAACAATGAATATTTGAATACTCTCCAAAATAATAAAGAATCGAGAAATACAGTGTACATTAACCAGCATTCTCCTACTACTATGTTGATAAGTTTATATCTCTCAGAAATTCTTTTTGATCTCATACCCTTTGAGTTGAATACATTTCACTGAAAAAACAAAAACACTCACAATTAATGAAGGGACATTGTCTAGGTAAATTAGTTCTACCAACTGAGTTAAACCATGTGGAAACATGATGTACATGTCCACCATGACTACATAGTGGACACACTAACACAAGTCCTTTGCAGCTATTTCGGCATACAGTACAAATTAACAATCTCTGCGGTTTCTGAGGGCCTGTAGTAGATTGCTGATTCTCCAAATTCACCTCCCATTGACAATGTGTACACTGTGCAGACTTAAGAGATCCATTGGAGTGTTTAGGAACTAAGTTAGAACTGCATCGCATGTCTGGACATGAAAGTAGAATCATAGCGTTTGTTTGAACGTAAGGCCATATATGGGTAAATGAATTTGTACGAATATTGTACGACCAAGATCGAAGAAGATGAGCGTGTAAAATGTATTCGCGTAGAGAGTAAATAATGCTAGCGTAAACATAAATGTAGTGATCGAATGAAAACAAATCCTTTTGATGCACAAATCTAAAACATACAAGGATTAGGGAAATAATAATTAAATATTTACTAGCTCAAAGATAAAATAATATTGAATTTCAAAGAAGTGAAATGTGTTTAATAGAAATAAAAAACCGTATCTCTAAAGTTTGATGAATTTATCATGATAAAGTAAGCTACCTCAAGATTGAAGAAACTCAGTAGTTATAATGTTGATTGCATTGGATTAAATCAAAAGGAATTTATAAACGGTCTAAAAAGTAAATTATACTGATGAATATCACGAAATTTAGAGCTGATGATGACAGACATATCATACTACAGCATAAAGACGGTATCATCAGCCAAGTAGGTTGAGGATGTAATGATTTTGTATACGTCTATGTTGATTTATCCTTAATCAAACATATAACAGTGGTAATAATAATAACACTCCAGGCAACATTTTTATCATCTTAATAATTCTATGCTTCTCAGAAATAATTAAACGTGTCCTCGTTAATTATATTAACCGAATTGTATATCTTTATATATGAGCTGTCTGTAAGTCTGTACATACTTACTTATCTAATAATCCAAATAACACACATTTACTGTTCTTACTGTATGATTGCTTCTACGAACGCACCAAATATATGTATCTCAAGCACACTCGTTTTTCAATTTCTAGCGTCGCGTAGTTATAAACTTGTTGAGTCTAATAATATATCCGAAAAAACACAAAGGGCGGAAAATCCAAGAAGTGATACCGATCTAGGAAGTCATTGGCTTTCGTTTTGACTCCACTGAAATTCTTGGCGATATCATCCCGCTTTACTGAAACGACTTAGCGAAATGGCAAAATTTGTGACAAATCCTAGATTTGATGTCTGACTGATTTTCATTACAATCACATGTACTCAAAAATCCAGCTGAAGGAGAAAATGACTCATGTCAAGTACCAAATCAATAGGAAAGCCCAATTCTTTAATACAAGGTGGATTGATAGAGGATCATATGGAAAACTTTGAGGAAAAAATAACAAGCATAATACCATTATGTTTAATCTACAAGAACAAACAACCTTGATTGATAAGCACAAATTGAATTGATCGATAATTCCTTTGGAGGAAGTTGTTCTATTGGACAACCGTTCATATTTTCGTTTGACTGGCCAGATACCAAACTAAATTCACTCTGTGTTTCATCAGAGTTATCTAAGGTAAATGACACTTGTTGTTCTAATGAAGAACTGGCAACTGTATTGCATCCTAAAAGATTTATTGTCTTTTCTGACTCATTCATGTGATATAATGAATATGTCTCCAAAAAGTTGTTCACAGATGACAGTGAAGTAATAGCTAGTATAAAAAGTAACATTTTCCTATCAGATTATATCAAATAACCATTAAAATAAAAATATTGTTTGAGTGTACAAATGACTTGATAATGGTGTTCGATTAATTAAAGATCCATAAGTTACTGTTCATAGAGAGATAGGTGAAGAGGGACATTTTATTTAATTTTGGCTTACAAAATTCGCAAATCATAAATAAAAACAAGAGCATACCCATTGGCTAACAATGAAAATGGTATAACTTCTCATCAGGGATACGCACCTAGATATAGAAAGGTATTTAACATGTATAGTTTGTCTCAGACAATCACTAAATATTACTTATGAAAACCATTAAATGTGTTGACACAAGAGGGTTATTTCATGGATCTGCTGAAGCTAAAGTGATAGATGCATTGAAATTTATTCACTGAAAACGGATATTTGGCTGAATAGCTCGTTAATATATTGATATATGTAACAGACTAACATTGTCATCAATTATATTGCTGAAACAATCGGTATACTCTGTTGAGGAAAATTACATGAAAAGTGGTAAGAAGAAAAGGAGCTGGTATAAAACTACTAGTAACTGCATTGCAACAAATCGTACTACGGACTAGACAAGGCAATGACCAGCATCAACTTTAGTGTTGAACAAAAACACAGAGATAATATAATTTTGTCGCATTACTGACGCTCGTTTTGAGGTTCTTTAAAGTATGTAAAGAAATAATATGTACAACAAATGCTAGTTTTATATTTGTGGATTAAACTTCCCAAGCAAATGCCTCTTTGACTTTGGGGTTATTCAATTCTAGTCTGCCCGATTTCTTCATTAATCAAATAAGTTCTAGTTAACATGTATGAGAAGCCTAGAATTATTGTTAGTCAATGCAATTTCAGTATCATTGGAGTACCATCCAAATGTTATTAGTATTTCTATTATCAGATTATTAGATTTAACAGTTACCTAGACCATTCCTTTTAAAACGTCTGTAGGATCTACCTCTACAAAATATCCCAGTAATATCGGCATAAAACTGCACAACTTACTGTTCTCGAGTTTATTTAGTGAAATATTTGAGCCATCAACTTTGTCGAACTGAAAAAATAAAAGTGTTTAATTGATTATAATGAAGGAATCATCAAATATTGTAGACCATTTAAATATAGTAACTCGTATTAGTTATCGACAGTTTTGATAAATATTGGTGCGAAATATTAAAATGATTGGATTAATGAACACAAAAACACTCTAATTTTTTGCTTTTCGATTCAAAATGTTATTGATTAAAAAACTAAGAGAAATTAGCGATGAAAAACCTTTTTGATTGATATTTTACTATTTAGGAACTTACTGATAAACTCCATAGATATGTTAAAAACTATAATAGCATATTTTATTCCCTTATAGTAGATGTGCTTAGCCGTTGCACATATAAACCCAAAACAATTATTAATAATATTCAGATCAAACAGTGTTTTTCTTTCACTGCTATCTTTGAAAGTATATTTTTGAATGCCTAATTTACGTTTTGATACATCAGTTCTCAACATATTAAACATAAAATGCAGAATTAATGTAAGTATGCGAACAAGCTCTTGATGTGATCATATCTGGCGAAGGCCAGATATCCGTCTATTAATAAAAGGACGAGTGTACTGTGCAGCAGTTCGTTCTGTTTTACATTACAGCTGCGAAACGTGACCATTAAGGGTGGAAGATACTCGTAAGTTACTTGTATTTGATCTCAGATGTTTTAGAAATATTGCTCGCATCTGCTAGGATCACCGGGTAAACAATAGTGAGGTTAAGCGCAGGGTATTAGGGAATGATGGTAAATCATTTGATGAGGTTGGAAATCTTCATCGACTGAGATTGTTGGACCACATGTTACGTATGCCTAAACACCGATTACCACGACGCGAAATGTTGACTAGTGTTGAAGATGGTTGGAAAAAAGTTAGGAGCAGCCAAAGCAGAACGTGGCATCAGTCATTGAAAGCATTCACTTACGGTCTGAGTCATGTCGGTAGATGCACAATACTTTGTTGTGTCCGCGTGACTATCGTAACCAATAGATGGAGACTCTGGATAACATGGCTCAAAATCAATCACAGTGGAGTAGGTGTATACACTCTCTATCTTCCCTTAAACCGTGAGACTAAAATCGCTTTCTATCTTTCTTTCTTCCTTTGTACCAACTAATTCTATTTTCCTGTACTATATCCTTATATGCAATCTTTCTTTCATATATTGCTAACATTGAAGTGACTACTATGAATTCGGTGTTCATCTTGTTGTGCTAATGAGGTATGGCAAGTTGGACCGATGCATATATGTGCCTGGTCCTACGTTGTAGCTGACTGACCGAATTGAACAAGGAGAAACACCATGATACCAACCCACTTAGATTAGTAGTTACATTGTAAGCTTAGCTGATTCAAATTCACGATTAGCAGTAATCACTTGATAACGTTAAACTTATTGATATTATGCAATGGTTATATGCACAGAAATTTAATCTTGTAATCTATACATTTTACAAATACTCTATAAAACAACTTCCTTAAACGTTTAATAAAAGTTATAACAATAATAATATTAATATAAGCAACAAATGTTGAATAAGGATAAGATATAACTGAAAACTTCTATCTCACTATTCTGGTGAAGAAAACCAAACAAACAGAAGGGTTACAACATGACGAGTTATTATTCGTTAGTTCAAGTTACATCAAAACTATTTTTTTTACATAGTAACTACAAAATTTTACAAATTTAGCGTATTTTTTTTCACTTTAAGAACAGATCACATTAAAGATACCAATTAATAAAATCAGATAAAAATGCAAAGAAAAAGCAATGACATTAAATTGGACAGGCTTATTCAATATTCTAAAAAATGAACAAAACAAAACAATTTATTAAGCCATAAATAGCAATGATAATTAATGTTCATAACATGAAAATTAAATAACATAGTAATCAATGACTTAATATTGAATAGAATTTTTTTTTAAAAAAAACTTACTTTCAGTTCATTGATATGATTTAACCTTTGAAGTACAAGAACCAACATTGCCAAACTTTGAACATCATGTATACGAAGGAAATGTCGAATCCTGTATTGAACAATGAACGTTTTTTTTAAAGTGACAACAATAATTTATGAAAATCACAACAACAAGAAAAAAACAACAAATAGAAACAACTGAAAATAAGAATAATTTGATTCATATAGAAAAATAGTAAGTTCTGATTATAGACAGTAATCATAATTTTTTACAAAGTACATTTCATTCTAAGAATCCATTTGGCTTGGTAAATCAATATTAAGTAATAATTAAAAAGTTACAATACAAAAGAAATGACCATTGTCAGTTAGTAGCTTATAAATGATATTTCGCCGTTTAAGTTCAGGTTGGAGAAGAGTGAAAAGTGACATCAATAATTTTCAAATACAACTAGCTAATAAAGTATTTCGCCACTATGAAATTGTATGTCGTCAAATTATAATGTAGGCCGAATTCATTCATTCAAAGAAAGAAAGAACAAGAAGACAGCAATTAACAGCAGCCGAACACGAGCAGAGAAAGTCCAAGAATAAGCTGAATACATAGAAGCAAACAAACAAGTGAAGAGGAGCATTAGAGCCAACAAGAAGAAATACGTTGAAGAACTAGCAACGACGGCAGAAAAAGCTGCAAGAGAAGGAAATATGAAACAGCTTTACGATACAACGAAGAAACTAGCAGGGAAATACAAAAAAAAGAGAGATCGGTCAAAGACAAAGAAGGCAGGCCAATCACTGAAATTCAACAACAGCGGAACAGATGGGTAGAATACTTCGAGGAACTCCTGAATAAGCCGGCTCCAACGAATCCACCGGACATCGAAGCAACACACACAGATCTTCCTATAGATGTCAATTTACCAACGACGGAAGAAATTAGAATGGCCGTCAGACAAATCAAGAACGGGAAAGCAGCGGGACCCGACAATATACCAGCTAAAGAACTGAAGTCAGACATCGAAGTAACTACAAACATGCTTCACCTTTTATTGAAGATTTGGGAGGGGGAAAAGTGCCGATGGACTGGAAAGAAGGACATCTCGTCAAGATTCCAAAGAAAGGAGATCTGAGCAAATATGAACACTACAGAGGCATTACACTATTGTCTGTAAAAGAGAAAGTCTTTAACAGAGTGTTGCTGAACCGGATGAAAGATGCAGTAGACGCATAACTTCGAGATCAACAAGCTGGATTCCGTAAAGATTGGTCGTGCACAGACCGAATTGCGACACTACTGGTCATCGTCGAACAATCAATTGAGTGGAACTCATCACTGTACAACAACTTCATTGATTATGAAAAAGCATTTGACAGTGTAGATAGGAGAATGTCAAGGCAGTTCCACTGTACGGAGCTGAAACATGGAGAACTACAACAACCACTGTCAAGTAGGTACACGTATTTATAAATAGCTGTCTACGCAAGATACTCAACATCCATTGGCCCGGTACCATCAGCAACAGCGTTTTGTTGAAGACAACGAACCAGTTTCCAGCTGAAGAAGAAATTAGGAAAACACGATGGAAATCGATTGGACATACATTACGCAAATCGTCAAACTGCATCACGAGGCAAGTTGTAACTTGGAATCCTGAAGCGAAGCGGAAAGGAGAAAGGCCAAAGGACACATGACGTCGGGAAATCGAGGATGAATAACAACTGGAAGGAGCTGGAAAGGATTGCCCAGTACAGGTTGGATGAAGAATGCCGGCGAGCGGCCTATGCTCCTTGACGAGGAGTAACAGGCGTAAGTAAGTAAGTAAGAATTCATTCATTCATTAAGTGAGTCAGTCAGTCAGCTACAACGTAGGACCAGGCACATATATGCATCGGTCCAACTTGTCATACCTCATTAGCACAACAAGATGAACACCGAATTCATAGTAGTCACTTCAATGTTAGCAATATATGAAAGAAAGATTGCATATAAGGATATAGTACAGGAAAATAGAATTAGTTGGTACAAAGGAAGAAAGAAAGATAGAAAGCGATTTTAGTCTCACGGTTTAAGGGAAGATAGAGAGTGTATACACCTACTCCACTGTGATTGATTTTGAGCCATGTTATCCAGAGTCTCCATCTATTGGTTACGATAGTCACGCGGACACAACAAAGTATTGTGCATCTACCGACATGACTCAGACCGTAAGTGAATGCCTTCAATGACTGATGCCACGTTCTGCTTTGGCTGCTCCTAACTTTTTTCCAACCATCTTCAACACTAGTCAACATTTCGCGTCGTGGTAATCGGTGTTCATGAATATAGACATAAAGAAAAAGATGGTATTGTACGAGGAGATATGAAAAGAAATTAAGCAATATCATAAACAAGCTTCACAATACTACTTATTTAAAAGAAATTATTTAGGTGAAAGTCCTTCTTCACTTTGCTTCATAGTTCTTTTAGGTCTTTCGTCTGTATCTGGAAAGAACAGTTGTAAAATATACAAGATGTTTCCATCGTATTTCATTAAGTTACCGTAATTCTGTTATCATAAAGAAGTTTGATTAGATTGAGAAATGGTCCATTTTCTTTGATAACAATTGTGTTTCCATAAGGCATAATTTCTAATTTTTCTCGATAACATATCGTAAACCCATTCTTATCAAAGTGATGCATAATACTAACACGTTAACAACTAAGTACATCGTAAGTAATATCTAACGAAATTTAATAAATGGGAATAATGATTTTTAGGTATTATAATCTGAACCTTATTTACTACCAAAAGTAAGTACACACAGTTTTTATTCCTTTATCTTCAAGAGTGGCACACAATTATTGTCATTAGATATGGCTTTTAAGTCAGATATTTACTACATTTTAGATAATCACTAGAATCAATCAACTCATTTAGTGTCCAAACTCTGCGTTGCTTTTCTTTAAAGATTCAAATCAATAAACGGGGATTTTTTAAATTATCATAAGTATCTCTAAAATTATTGAAAACTACTTACCATGTATCAAATAACGGTCTACCAATTAATTGTGAAGCTAAAGGTTGATAAACTTGGTGAGAATGATCTGTGTGACTAAATGAGATCGACATAACTAGAGCATATTGCCAGAACTAAGTTAAATGATGATAAAGACAAAGAAAACAGTAACATGCAAAAAGAAAATCTACGTAAATAAGACAAATAAATATATAAACTAAAGGAATCCTTTGAGCGTATTCAAATGGTGGCTAGAAGTGAAGTACGGGATACAATCTCATCTTACGTGGGATTCATCAGCTAGATGCCCCGTGTTATTCACACGGAGACTCTAAACTAACACCTAAAACTCCTTCAAACGGCTTCCAAATAGGATGAAACACGTGCCTTTGATTCCACTGTTAACCACAATAAGAATGCACTGAAAAACTATAGTTAATGAGCAGTATTGAGGCACTCGTTTATGGTAGATCTTTATGGTTAAAAATTTATCATTCTTAGTCCTGAAAATATTAACTATCACTAAGAAAAATTAATGTTTTAAGAAATAAAAAAACGGGTGTAATTTTAAAACCAATACCTTTTGTTATTAAAAATTTACTAACGATTAAGTATATCTACAGTCTGTACTCGTTAGAGATTTATTTCAGTTGTGTTACCATCAAAAAAGCAAGTGGCGTTGGACTGCTGTTTCGACCTAGTAAGGGACTTCTCAAAAGTGAGCAACCACGAACCCTCCATCTATCGTACCTAGAACAACGAAGCATTGAGACATACGATTAACAATTGGAACGATTGCGTAGACATCCAATGATACAATCCTAACGCCAGTGAATTCGCGATTTAGAGCGGTGATCAACCAGTGGTGTTGGTGGCGATTGTCTTATTCCCAACATGTTTGAACTCTATTACTCATGACCATTAATTAGAATTTCAAGAGCATTTTGAAGTAAGTTATTAATTAGCAGAATATCACAGCCTAGTTAAAAGTTTTCATCAGTAGTACTGGATGAACTTCGTGATATGTTCCAAACTGATTGTATTTGGAGTTGTACCATTAGAAGCCAGGTCAGTGGTTTTATTGATTAAGAATTTGCCGGAAGATGTTATGGTCCTGGATCTGATTCATGAAGGGTTTGTGGTTGCCCACTGCTGAAGGGATCCATACTAAGATAAAACAACTATCCCGAGATGTAACGAATACAACTTACTAATAAGATTGACTTCTATAAAACACATTTATCGATTTAAATACTACTTTAGTTATTTGTCTCATCGTAACAATTTATAGGATGTTTAAGGACTACTTTAAATTATATTGTTGTACCTAAAATGGATAAATAAAAAAGCTAGACAGGGTAAACACATTGATAAGTTAAATTTATCTCTTAAAACTCAGAGAATAACTTAGCATGGCACAACCCATCTGAAACTAGAACCTACAACACTTCGCTTTAAACATAAAGTCTTACTAACTAGATTCTGAAGTTGCAAAAGTTTTATTTTTAATACAATTGACGGTAGTATTGATATGGTTGTATACAAAAGTAAAATATTACAAATTATTAATCAATTCAGTGTTATGAATCTTCGATTGAATGTTCATTTGAAGGAGATATTAGGATTTCTAGTTAAAAAACTACAACTTCAGCGTTATAATCAGAAAATTAAAGTCCTACTGATAATGATATTAGAAGCATTACTACATTAAGAAATTAGGAGATATCGGGGTAACAAACATACCAAGTCCTTATAACGTTTTTTTTTTATCCAATTGAAGAGGTAAATAAAAGGAAAATATAAACATAAGTTTCATATTTGCTATCAACTATCAACGAAAATGTAAACTAATTCTTGACAAAACTCATTCGATCTATGATATTTAGGTTTATGTTGTACAGCACCGCTTCAATGACAAAAGTTATATTCAAACACAAAATAAAACATATTAAAAGATGTTTCCAAGTTTTAAAAAAAATCAGTTGTTGGATAACAATGTCAATATTGATTGTTCAGTATCCGTGAAATAGCTCTCAAGATTAGAGAGCGAAATACAGTAAAAATTTGGTAACGGGATAGAGAATAGATTAACAGTTTGTGGATAGTGTGAGAAAATTTATTGGAGTAACGAAAGCACAATTACGTATAAAATGAACAGGAAGTCTTTCACTAAACATAGAAAAATATAATAATATAAAGAACAGACTGTATACCATAAGTAATACAAAATAAGTAAATATATGCTTACTCGAATAAGATCCTTTCGATGAGTATTATAAACTGCATGAAGATTGTGAATGCACATCTGTTGTAAATTTTCGGTGTTTAAGCTATATATATATATATATTTGAAGGTCAAGACAAATGAATGAATTATCATGGATTCATTAAGATAATATTTATGAAAATAATACTTTGCAAGTATATTTTCTGTATAAAATCATAAAGCAGAAAGACAAGCTTTGAAATCAGTTGCACTGGAGTAGATGAATTTATTCCTTAACTAAATCTTAAGTTTAAATGTTATTTCATATATAGTGAACTTTGATTTCACTCTTTCTATGCTTATGTTTTTTAGATTATTAATAATATCCATATTTTGGCTAAATTGCTGTTCATATCTTAATGATTTCTTATTACTGTAGTAGACTGAAGTATGAGTACTTAAACTGACGTACATTTATACCACGTCCGATGTTGATTGATCACAAAGATAAATCTTTTTAAATAATGTTAGAACAAATCAAAAGAAATTTTACAAAAACGCTCAATTATTTCTACATTAAATACTGAGTTGAAGAATACAGACATAATTTAAGGTATTTGTTATAGACTAGTACAAACATACTATCTTACATACTATCAACGCTTCATTACTAACGTTTTGGTCAGACATTTTTGTTAAATAGGAAAAACTGTAAATAACAATTGTAAAGATAGAACATTCAAGTATTTTATTCAGATGTTTTAAGAGATAAGTTCGGTTTTACACATGACTCAATTTTGAATTACTCAATTTAATTGTTTTAAACACTTATAAGTGCTTTACAGTATAATAACTAAAGAAAATGAACGTATGTTCATCCGACAAGAATAATGGTGACAGGATATAGTAAGTTAAACAATTAACTGGCAATATTTTTTAACACAAACCAATTCATCAAGTCATATGATAATTTCAATAAGAGCAAAATTCTGAAAAGAAAAGATTTATATCATAGTGAATAATAAACGACTGTCGAATTGAAATCATTCATTATAACAGTAAGAAGAATTTGAGAAAAGTATATCAAACAAGATATGTTTAAATATAATCTTACGAACCTGTAATCATACATTAAATGCCGGTCCCAAATTAAAGGGCTCATGTCATAAATTTGAATAGTAGATGGATCTGTAAAATGAACATAATTAGAATTTTAAAGATTTACTTGAGGATAAAAAGTGTGAAGAAAAAATTAAGGGAAATTTTATTATGAATTTGTCCACAAATTGATAAAAAAAAATCATGTTATTACACTTATCGGTACATACGGTTAGGCAAAAAGAATTTACTTGTGTGCAGTCACATTTGATTTATTCACTATTAAAATTAACTTTAAATTACTTTGTTTGCACTGGAAACATTTAGAACATATATTCCACAAAAGGAATGAATTAACCTTCGTTTTGCCCGGCAAAAAATTGTAAAAAGGAAACCTGATGAGATGTTTTAGGGCTACAAGGATGTGCTTACATAATACTAAAAACAAAGAAGTGGACTTTATGCATAATATGGTAAATTAACTAGGTCACCCACAAAGTTTTTTTATGGAAGCATGTGTTTACAGTAAACAGTTAGTTAGACACAGACTGTTCTACATAAATCTCTTTACTATAAAGCTAAAATTTAATGGAGACATAGCTAGCACTGTTTTATACAACAGACTAACTAGAACTGAGAATAGGACTTTTTATTCAGCTGATCGTTGTTCGCCACTTCCTGATTGACCACTGGTGATCGCTTAACTAAATAATGAGTTACCTGGTTTCTCTACCTTGATATGCATCTAGTAATTCAGCTAGTCATGCGAAGAACTCTATATTGGAAAGGGGGGGCTGCCAGACAGCCAGTTAACCAGCATCTCTCTTTCGTGATTCTAAAAAGGGTTAGACTAGGTCATGGGCAACTCCAGTAAGTATATGATGATGGTCATTTGATAGATAAAACCAAAGTATTCAGTTATTTTTTGAATTTGTGGTACCACTGCCTCTATCTCACTAAATGTCTCTACCATTTGTTTGTTTATGTTTACCTTTTTCATATATCTTTTTTACTATTTGAATACTTAAATTGATAATTCACATAGTTCGTCTGAAGCAATTCTTTCAGGACCAGAGTTTTAACAAGTTTATTCTTGCAAGTTTATACATATTTCCGAAATAATAATTATTGTTATCTTACTCTTTAATGTACTTAGAATTAGTACAATACCTATCAACTTACTCTCAATTTATATTTTTCACTCATTATTACTAGTTATGCAATCTGTTTCTCAATGACTCGAGAAACCCCATGATTGCTTTATTATTTTTTACATAGACGTATAAATATTACCGTATATTAGAATAGAATGGTATGAAGATTTGGTTGAAAACTGGATTATTGGCTTATATGTATTGTTTCAGTAAGAAGCAAAGAAAAAGAAGGATCTACTACTTATATTCTTCATCGATAATAGATCTTGATTGATGTGATGCTTCTTTCGAACATAAGCTAGTTATTCAAACCTATTCGCGTTGTACGTGTACGCAGAACTAAAATGACTGCATATTTAGAAAAAGGTCAAAATATACTAAACTACATCTTATTGGATGCATTTTTTGTTTTAAAAAATGGTTAAAAAGCACTATCTTTTTAAACTTTTTTTCCTAAAATAACCAGAATAAAATATCAGCTCTTCCCCTATCCATTAGGATAACTAGATAGAGATTATGAACTAAGTAATTTATTCTTTTACAAATAGCAGAAATAATTGATTGATAACCTCAACTAGAAATGTTTGTGAGCTAAACATATTGATAATTTAAGTTCTTGTATGTAGTGAAAGTTATTTAATATATGCATGTGTAGTAATGAAGAATCAATGTTTACTATACAACTTTCATTAAACATTTCATAAAGTGAATGCTACATGACAACTCATACTATTTTGAATACACACTAGGATTTTTATTCCGTGCATAATGTATAGTCAACTCCGCCTGTAGCTCTTATAGGGTTACTGCCGGTCCCAAGCCCGGGTGAAGGAGGAGGGTTGGGCATCGGGTTAGCGTCTCCATCACGTAGAAAACTAACTCGCTAAAAAACCGCTTACCAGAAAAAATAATCCAAACCATTTTAACTCTGCCCTGGGAGTTAGAAGGTCTTCATTTAGAAGAATTATGACGCTTCATGGTGAAAGCCGAGTTCCTTCGGAAGCCACGAGACCGATGCCCCTTCTAACAACCAGAGCAAAAATTTTTATAGGTACATGGAACGTTCGAACAATGCGGGAAACCGGGAAGACCAGTCAAATATCAATGGAAATGAGGAGATACAACTTAGCAGTACTGGGAATCAGCGAAACCCACTGGACCCAAGCTGGACAGAAAAGGCTAGCTACGGGAGAGATGCTGCTATACTCCAGTCACGAAGAGGACAATGCTCCACACACTCAGGGAGTCGCTCTTATGCTGTCCAAAGTAGCACGAAATGCACTTGTAGGATGGGAATCTCACGGATCCAGAATCATCAAAGCATCATTCAAAACAAAGAAGGAGGGGATCTTAATGAATATTATCCAATGTTATGCACCCACCAATGATAGCAACGACGACATTAAAGATCAGTTCTACGAGCCGCTGCAGTCAGTGATAGAGAAATGCCCAAGAAAGGACCTCACCATTCTAATGGGAGATCTAAATGCCAAAGTCGGAATAGACAACACTGGATATGAAGATATTATGGGACGACATGGACTGGGAGAAAGAAACGAAAACGGAGAAAGATTTGCAAATCTGTGTGCATTCAACAAATTGGTCATAGGAGGCACAATATTTCCACACAAGCGTATACACAAGGCTACATGGATCTCACCGGACCACACTACAGAGAACCAAATAGATCATATTTGCATCAACAAAAAATTCCGAAGGACAATGGAAGATGTGAGAACCAGGAGAGGTGCTGACGTAGCTTCAGATCACCACCTAGTTGTAGCCAATTTGAAACTGAAGCTAAAAAAGAACTGGACAAGTGGACAAACAGCAATACAAAGGTTCAATACAGCCTTCCTTCGAGATACTGACAAACTCAATGAATTCAAGATAGTTCTCAACAACAGGTTCCAAGCCTTACAAGATCTACTGAAGGAAGAAGAAACTACTATGGAGGACAACTGGAAAGGCATCAAGGAAGCATTAACTTCAACGTGTCAAGAGGTTCTCGGTCTAAAGAAATACCATCATAAGGAATGGATCTCTACAGAAACACTGGACAAGATCAAAGAAAGGAAGAACAAGGCAGCAATAAACAACAGCCGAACACGAGCAGAGAAAGTCCAAGCACAAGCTGAATACAAAGAAGCAAACAAACAAGTGAAGAGGAGCATTAGAGCCGACAAGAAGAAATACGTTGAAGAACTAGCAACGACGGCAGAAAAAGCTGCAAGAGAAGGAAATATGAAACAGCTTTACGATACAACGAAGAAACTAGCAGGGAAATACAGTAAACCAGAGAGGCCGGTCAAAGACAAAGAAGGCAAGCCAATCACCGAAATTCAACAACAACGTAACAGATGGGTAGAATACTTCGAGGAACTCCTGAATAGGCCGGCTCCAATGAATCCACCGGACATCGAAGCAGCACACATAGATCTCCCTATAGATGTCAATCCACCAACTACGGAAGAAATTAGAATGGCCGTCAGACAAATCAAGAACGGGGAAGCAGCAGGACCCGACAACATACCAGCTGAAGCACTGAAATCAGACATCGAAACAACCACAAGCATGCTTTATCTTCTATTTAAAAAGATTTGGGAGGGGGAAAAGTGCCGAAGGACTGGAAAGAAGGACACCTCATCAAGATTCCAAAGAAAGGAGATCTGAGCAAATGTGAAAACTACAGAGGCATTACACTACTGTCAATACCAGGCAAAGTCTTTAACAGAGTGTTGTTGAACCGGATGAAAGGCGCAGTAGACGTCCAACTTCGAGATCAACAAGCTGGATTCCGTAAGGATCGGTCGTGCACAGACCAAATTACGACACTACGGATCATCATCGAACAACCACTTGAGTGGAACTCAACACTGAACATCAACTTCATTGATTATGAAAAGGCATTCGACAGTGTAGATAGGAGGACGTTATGGAAATTTCTTCGACACTACGGAGTTCCTGAGAAGATTGTCAATATTATCCGGAACTCATACGACGGACTACAGTGCAAAGTAGTGCATGGAGGACAGCTGACAGATGCATTCCAAGTAAGGACCGGAGTCAGACAAGGCTGTCTACTCTCTCCCTTCCACTTTCTTCTGCTGGTCGACTTGATTATGAAGACCTCAACATCTGAAGGAAAAGACGGAATACAATGGACAGCTCAGAATCAATTAGACGATTCTGACTTCGCAGATAACCTAGCCCTCCTATCACGTACACACGAACAGATGCAGATAAAGACAGCCAGTGTAGCAGCAGTCTCTGCATCAGTAGGCCTCAGCATACACAAAGGGAAAACCAAGGTCCTCAAATTCAAAGCGAAAACAGAAATCCAATCACTCTTGATGGCGAAACTCTGGAAGATGTAAAATCCTTCACATACATGGGAAGCATCATCGATGAACAAGGAGGTTCAGATGCAGACGTAAAGGCGAGAATTGGCAAAGCAAGGGTCGCATTCCTACAATTGAAGAACATATGGAACTCAAAACAACTTTCAACCAATATCAAAGTCAGAATCTTCAATACGAACGTCAAGGCAGTCAGTTCTACTGTACGGAGCTGAAACATGGAGAACTTCAACAACCACAATCAAGAAAGTACAAGTATTTATAAATAGCTGCCTTCGCAAGATACTCAACATCCATTGGCCGGATACCATCAGCAACAGCCTTTTGTGGGAGAGAACAAACCAACTTCCAGCTGAAGAAGAAATTAGGAAAACACGATGGAAATCGATAGGACATACATTACGCAAATCGTCAAACTGCATCACGAGGCAAGCCCTAACTTGGAATCTTGAAGGGAAGCGAAAAAGAGGAAGGCCAAAGAACACATTGCGTCGGATAATAGAAGCAGATATGAAAACGATGAATTACAACTGGACGGAGCAAGAAAGGATTGCCCAGGACAGGGTTGGATGGAGAATGCTGGTGAGCGGCCTATGCTCCTTCACGAGGAGTAACAGGCGTAAGTAAGTAAGTAAGTAATCTCATTATGTTCGTTAATAAAATTGCCGTAAACTTTGGAATCTGCAAACGACTTTTATACAAAAGTTAGGGATAATTGACTACTTGACGAATAGGAAGAGAGTGAAAAAGAAGAAAAGAGAAATTAGAAAATGATAATTATTATTCATTAATAAATATAAAAGATTGAAAGACAATACTAACAATTGACTATTATGCAAAATAAGAAGAGAAGTTAAATCTTTGGTGGAATGAAAGATTAGATAGATTACTTCTGCGAATAGAATTTAGGTCTTAGTTTCTTTAATTCTTATTCAACTTATTCCTAGGTTCCGTGTAATTTCATTCTACTGTAATAATATAAATAGATGTAATTAGTTAAATATATCAAGAGATCTATACAAATGTAATCAATGACTGAATACTTCTAGGATAAATAATTACTGACAAGTAAGTGAATAAAAATCAATAATAGAAAATAATTAACATAAAATGATACAGGAAATATTGTTGCTTATGATAACGTAAAAACACATTACAACTATTACATATGTCTCCATATCAGTAATTTTGATAATACAATATGAAGGCGGTATAAATATGACTAAAATAAGTCGTCATCATTTAAGATAAATAATGTCAATATCGGATATATATATCCCTAGTTGTCGGCAAAGCTAACTTGTTAATCAGATATCATAGTAATAATAATAACTATAAAATCGTATCAATTTTCATTCATTTAAATATCTAAGTCATAATTTTTGTCATGGTACACACCTACTTGAACACTCATATGTATATATATATATAAGCAAATGTAAGCTTTTATAAGAATAGTGTACAAAATTATTTTACAAGAAACTTCATTTGGAAATCCTATAATATATTATCAGTAAAACTCAGTAAATTTACAACAACAACAGAGAATAGCGTTGATGAGTAAAATGATGAGAAAATATGAGCTGATACGCCACTGTTAAGGTCAACTTTAAAATTAATATAAAACGTGCATATATACATTAGTCAATAGAGTAACTATAACTGCATTTATTTTTAAAACAGATACATATTTCCTTCGATTTTCATATGTCAATTGTGATATGTATATGTCGTGAAGAAAAACAAGATAATAATATAAACAAACATGACTTACAAATCATACTGAAATGACTGAGGAATATTTCAGTTGGATTCTGGACATCAGGAGAGTTGGGATGTGTTGTTGAAATGGAATTGAACCATTTTTGTTCCGTCACACGAGCAGACTCGAACGAATTTTTCTATAACAAATAAAAATGGATAACGTTTTATGCACAACAGAATGCTCGACTAAATTGGCTTATTTTAATAATCATTAGAAGCTTATTTTATTAGTCATGAGCCGTTCACAATACGATCCACAATTCTTTTGATTGATAATGAAGTGTTTGGAATCAAGTTAACGTATGTTTCGAACTTCGTTCATGTTGAAAATGGTCAGATTTCCCAAAGCAAACTGTAACACTAAGTTTTCCGCCTAACTCTTTAAATTCTGTGTGCCTTTCTTTCTTATTTTAGTTAAATATGTTCAATTGTTAGTCATTTCTTGATCTAATGAAATTATTTTTCAACCCGCTAGAAATACATGATAACTATTTAGAAAACTGATGATTATTATAAACAAGTAAACTTTCAAAACAAATATCGATTTCCTTTTGCAAGCTCATTTCTTACTGTGTAAGAAAAGAGGATGTTCTCTACATTCATAGTTTATAGCATTTACTGCTAAGAGTATCGAGCCTTATGTACTGAGAAATTCGTACAACTTACAAAAGTAACACATTATAACGAATTTTATCCGACATAACTGAGGAATTGAAATCTCCGAGAGTTGAAATTTCTCACATCAATCATTCTGTAATATACTCCAAAACGTAATGAATAAATGATAAATGAAATGTTATATAATACATGCAGTCGACTGTACAAAAATATTACATAATGGTTAACAAGTAATAATAGAATTTTACGAGAAAAGTAACAATATAACATATAAGCTAAATTTACCTTTACTTCAGCATCATTATCTGTTGAATTCATTGAATTTTGGTTAAGTTCTACATTCATTTTAAAAGATAACCTATTTTTGTCAATTAATTCAGTGATAATTTTCTGTTTTTTATGAGGTTGATGCTGTTGTCGTTGTTGTTCTTTACAATCTACCTCAAATCTAGCAAATGAATCAATTATATTTCCAATACAATTCTGAAATGATCTTCTCATATCATCATTATATTCACGATTTGCTGATGAAAATCGTTGGATAAACGTTTGATATTCACTAAATGATTGTGGTGTCCAATCTTTTTTTGTGTCATTATTATTATTATTATTTGTTAACTCTACTTGACATTTATCATCTGATGAAGTTGATTTTATTGAATTACGTATAAATGACAAAGATTCTGGTAGACCGAATGTTACAATTAGACCATTCGTGGTAAAATGAACACCAGATGTTCTTGGGAAAGGAATACCTATTGTATAATGACATTTTTGTTTCAGTGAAGCTGTTGTATCCATAATTGGTTTGTTCAGTGCATCCATATTAACATTAAGCATATCATAATTAGTAGTAGATAAATTTGTTAAGTTTATTTTTTTAGAATTATTTTCTATCTACAATAAAATCAAAAGAGAAAAAACGAATCAAAAGTAAAACTGTGAGGATGAAGACGGTGGTCTATGACAGTAGCTGAGGGACTTTTTTATATGAATACATTTTAGTAGTTATAACTCATTTTGTCCATAACATGATGGAATACAAAATGTTAATGAGTCAATTATATCCAAAACCGACTTCTTAAATTCTCCACAGATACAACACAATGTAGGGAAGATATTAATAAGATACTTACTTGATTACTTAACGTAGGATATGTTTGTAAAGTGATCACAGCATTTCGTATACATGGTTCAACACAACCACGTGAGGTGGACACTAGTTCAGATGCAGTTGAATATAAAACCTGATAACAGAAGAAAGTAACACAGCTACTAAAAGATTTTAAAAAATACACCAACAGAAATGAGATAAAAGTTGAAAATATCTTATTTTGAGGACGATAAAACACATAATTCACATTTTTCCTAAATGAATTACTTTCCGATAGTAATTAACATTTCGATGATAGTTGATTTTAATAAGCAATCAGAATTAAGCGAATCACATAAAACTACCTCTAACTTTTAGTGATAGAATAAAGAAATTTAGACTTAGACAAGTACTGAGAAAACTTTAAAAATCTTAGTAACTACGTGATGATAAATTGTAGTATATGTCTATTAAAATGAAGCTCGGACAATGATAAGAAATCCAAACTAATCAGTGTTGTAGGAAACGTGCTTTACCACAAGATATATCTTTTATTATGAATGAATCTGTGTAAAAATTTTTAAGACAGAATATAGAATGTCAAGTGATTACCTACCGAATATGTCGGTTGTTTGAATTACCATAATTAATGAACATTTGAATGCCATATTATGTGAATCAGCTCTCCCTTTCTATATATATATATATAACTATCATTATCGATAGGAATGAAGTTAAACGAACTAGATATACGACGAAATTTTTCCAAGATAGTTTAAAGTGTCAATCTGTTCTCTCTAAATAATTTCGATAGATATTTCTAAACATGTAGAATAAACAGCTTGGTTTCTACGTATGCTTAAAAATCAAGAAAATAAAAAAAGTTGAATATCTTATTAGAATTAGTTTCTTTTTGTATTGTTTCACTGATTTTCATACTCAGAAAAAAAAGAAAACTTTATATCTTGAAATGAAATGCTAATAATTTGATCTGTTTTTTAATGATAAGTTGAAACTGTTTACTTTAATTCACTTAGATAAACAGTTAAGAGAATGAGTTGAAATAATAAAATTCTCGTCAGTATAAATGTATACAAACAAGCAAAACTATAAAGAAACAAGAAATGCATACTAAAAACATCATTTATAGCCATTTCTTCATAACTAATATTAAGAATATAAATAATAAAGGAATATACAATATATTAAATGAGATATTTATTTATTTAGTTGAACACATAAATATTGGTACAAGAGGGCACCATATATATATGCGCCATACAAAACAATGAGAATGGGAAGAGAAAAAGAAGGTAAGGAGCTTATCGGAAAAAAAGAACAATAACGAACAGATTACTGTGCGGTAGTGTAATAATAATAATAATGGGAGAAACGGAAAGGTACAATCAGAAGAAATCTTTCAGTTAAGGAAGATACAACCACTTTTTATGAAGAAAGTAAAAGAAGGTTACAGCACGATCGCCACTGGCTTCTATTCTGAGCCATATCTCATAACCTCTCTAGCCACGGTGTTGCACCATCTCTAGGACCCCAGCCAGCGAGTCGTGAAGGACCAACACAAGCCAGTCCTTTGCATCTTTCTTTCATCCCACGACACCATGTCATGCACTGACCACCTCTCCGCTTCTTCCAACCAGTCCCAGAGTCGGCAAATAATGCACGACGTGGAATTCTCTGGGATGACATTCGTACACGTCTAAACCACCGAAGTCGATGTTTCAAGATGGTGACACCAATTGGGTTGTCGTCTCTGTGCCCAAACACACGATGCCGAACCTCTGCATTACTAACATGGTGTTGCCACTGGATGTCAGCAATCCTCCGGGGACGGCGATGATCGAACACAGAGAGTCATCTTACATCCTCAACTCGGAGAGGCCAGGCTTCACAAGCATAGAGCAAAACTGCTCTCACCGACGCGTTGTAGATTCGACCTTTTACAGCCAGACTGACATCACGAAGGCGCCAAAGATGGCCCAGATTGGCATAAGACGCTCTGGCTTTCACTATACGTGTATTGATCTCATCACTCACGCCACCATCAGCACTTATGCAGGTACCTAGATACACAAACTTCTCGACTACTTCTATCTGCTCACCATCCAGAGTGAGTGCAGGATTAGAATCCTCCCAGTCTTGTAGAAGTACTTTGCACTTCGAAGGTACAAAGCACATACCATACCTATGGACACTGTTTGCCAACTGATTAAGTGTGGATTGCATGGCTTGGGCATTATCGCACAGTAAGACAAACTACTATTATTGATCTTTAGTGCAACATATATAAGCGAACAATATTGTTTTCGATTAGATCCTCATCAGGATTTACTCTAATATACAGTAATATTCATATGCATATACGAAATTATTAAACCAATCAAAGTAGTTAATGAGTCAACGATAACGATGGGAAAGATTACATAATAAGTGAAAAGTACAAATTGGTAGTGTGATGACAGGTGTACTAGTTGTCATAAGAATAATAAAGGCTTAAATCATTGTTACACAATAGGAAATAGGTCAATGATTAGAAAAATATACAATGAGATAACATTTATAAAAAATTATAAGATTATTGAACTGTGTAGAAAAAAACAATGATATTCACATAGTGAACAGATAATCTCTTACAGTTTTAATTTACAAAAAAGTAAGTCATTTAAATTCCTGTAAAGTTGAAATATTTTTTTAGTCTTTCAGTTTTAACGTTAATATGACAATTATTACCAACGGATGTTTAAATGTTGAAACATTGGAGTAGTATTTAAATAATTTAATTTTTCAAATAATAGGTACTAGGTAGCAGGTTCAAATTTCATTACACTTGGTTTGAGCAGACGAATAGTATTAGTAACCCATATAACCTGAAATATATCATGAAATCCAGTGTATAAAACTGTACTTTATTAATGAAGTAATCACAGAAATATGGTAATTGGTGTTTGGATTGTCGATGTGAGTTTCGTCTTCCGCTTAATATATATTACATAGCAATGAATATTTGTTTCATCCGTTGGGAATTGAGGCAAGTATTTTTTTATAACAAACAACAACCATCACAATTTATTATTATTAACAAACATTGATCACTGTGTTGAATGGTTTTAAAGTATACCTAATTGGTTTCAATTTAAATGTGAGCATACAAACAATAACTAGCATTTATGTACGATTAGCTGAACGCCACAAAAATGAAATAAAAAATGTATTCCAGAAAACACCGCTAACAGTAATAAAAAATACTACAACAATATCACTAAGACAATCTTTAAAAGAAAATAGGAGAGAAAGAAACAGAGGGGATTAATAAGAAAAAACTTACATCCTTTAATTCATCTAATACTTCTGGAGGTAAGGGTGGACTGCAATCAAGCACATGAAATTCTGGTATAGCTCCATTTAATGGATAATTATCAGGGAATTCTATACTTAATATTATTGAACCAGCTAATGGCATTTCATAGTTATGTGTATTGTTAGACGTCGAATTTTCTAATTCATGACTATTATCAAAGGTTAAAGTAAATGGGTGATTTGATGGATAATTTGTTAAATGTGTACTCTCTTCATTATCAACACTAACAGCACTATTACTAATGCTAGTCCGATTCGATATTGTACGTTCAGTATCAGTTGTTGATGATAAATTACGATGGTGTACGTTCCAAAAATTTGAATGTTCAGAAAATTCCATTTGTGAAATTAGATCAGCAGTTGGAGGTAATAGTAGACTATCAAGACCTTCATTATTCATTACAGAACTATGACGTCGTCTTCGAAGTGTATTAGTTACTGAACATAATGAATAATGATGATGATGATTACGACGACAGTAAAATAAAATTAATTTAGCTGTACGATTGATAAGATCCATTTCTTCTAACTTATACTAGAGATACACAAATCAAAGATATAAACAACAATATAGTTTAAAAACTATTGACTAATGGTTACAATAAAAGTTCGAACTAAAAAAAGAGTTAACACGTTTCATAAATCCAAAATGATAAAGTCCCTTTTAATTTGTACACATGAAATGTTTGCATAAATTTGATGAATTTCGAATTTCATTGATCTGATGAAGTAACTAATATTGAAAATTTGAGGGATATATGATAACATTGAAGTCGTGCAAAACAAATACATATTGACATATAATGCGAATGTACAGTTAAGAATCATTTTATAACAGATATAGTTAATCGAAGCAATTGTATTACTGTAATAGATTTTAATTACTGCAGCTCCAAGTTTCAGAACAAGAAAACTATAGTTTTATGGATGGCATACAACATAGATTAATGAAAAAACTTCTTTCTTATAGTGTCAACACTACTTGAAAATTAACATTTTCCTATAACTTAGAAACCATGTTACACAGTTGTCATATATAAATAACCGTGAAAACAACAAAGAATTATGTCATTAGTTATTCTTTAATATGTTACAACTAGTAATTAGCTATCGCTATTTTGTATTATAATCAATGTGATTGAATTTAAGCTATTAAAACTAGTTTAATTTGTTAACTTTGGTTAGCGTATTTTTAGCAATGTTGTTTTCTACGAGATGAGGATGCTGACCTCATGGCCAACCCTCTTCCGTTATCCGAGCTTGCAACCGGCAGTAGCTCTAGAACAGCTATAGGCGCCGAGAATCGGAAACAGACATCAAAAGTAGCATCCAGAAAGGATTATACATGACAGAGTTCAACAGAGAATGCTGATGGGTGGCCAATCCTCCTCTACAAAGGGGTAACAAGGGTAAGTAAATAAAACTAGTTTAACAAGCTAATATAATTTTAGAAAACATATTCACGTGGTGTTACTGTAAAGATAAGGTTGCAGACGTTATATATATATATATATATATATATATATATAAGTATTGCAAAAATGTGATTTTCAGAAAGAGATAAATTTCTAAAAGTACCAAACATAGTAATTTCAATAATAATCATTACTTCAAAATGCTAAAACATAACTGGATTAACTTTAATCAATTTTCACGTTTTTTTTTCTAACCAAATGTCGTTTAATTAAATTTATCATAGGAATTTATGGAAATATACCTTTTAAAAGCGGTAGGCGGAGAATTTTCACTGTCTACTAAACGTATTTGCAATATTAAAAGGAACGTTTTACAAGAGATGAATGTCAATTTTTATGCTTTTAGTTGCTACGCTGAATAGTATATTATATATGTATTATATCAACTATGGAGACATACACATTGATAAATTGTATTTCATCTAACAATGTAAATTTGCTTTTAAAAAATACTATGTGTATTATCGATATGCTTGAATAATTTACAGTGTATAATAAATAAATTTAAACCGTTATTACCCAATACATCCTGATCATTTGATAAATTTTAATAAGGTGAGAACAAAAAGATATTCAGAATAAAATGAATTCATTGTATTTTCAGGCTTTTCATCAGTTATAAACGGCCATTATTTTTATTGATATAAAATGTATGATAATGGACTTATTTGTGGAGCTGACACTTAGTGATTTCAGCCAATAAATCAAAGAACGTGAAACATTGAAGCAGCTGCTGAAGTACAAAAAAAGCAAGGTTTAACACATTGACTACCTATAGACTAGTACATAATCCTGTACATGGTTGCTAAGTTACAATTTTGTCTTCAATTAGCGTAGATATCCCATTGAAGGAAAAGATTTGAACGAAATGCTAGTAATACTAATGGTTATAACACAACAATATGATAGGGGCGAATTATTGAAATTGTCGAATAACTAATGATTCAGTTGGTATAATTACCATAATAATAACAACAGTAATAGTAATAAAGTAGAAATATTAGTTCATTTACTTTCTACTTAACAATAAATAAATGGTAACAGCAGCAAATGAAAAAATTGACATTTAAAAATGTATATTAATAACATCGATAAAACATCATGACTGGGATTTACATATCATATGTAATGCTAATTACTGTAATTAATTTTGTTATACTGTTTCTTTTCTCTTCTCTTTTGAATACTGACAATGAAATATCACAAATTTTATGACTAAAACCCATAGGGAAGGGCAAACAACAAACAATGTAGGAAATGCTTTACTGTAGAGAATGAATTCCCCAGAATTCACATCTGTACATCGACGTTGATGTAGGGCAGCTGGAGGTAGTCATCAGGAAATTCTGGTCTCAGTTTGGTACTAGTTAGTACATGTCACTAAGGCATACCTGTAATCATAAGGGAACAGACTGTTTTTCCTAGTGCATTCGAATTCGGGTAACCCAGTTTCAGTCTAAAAGGTTATTATCGAAATATTTTAATCAAAACTGAATAGCTGTAAGACAGATATTTGCATTGACTGATTACTGTGTAGAGGTTACATGAGAATACTATCGAACTAATCATTTGCCACTACTTAGTGAACAACCATCGTACGTATACGGACTTTGATATCGTACATTTTTCTAGCTATCCTTACTCGAAAGGGCATTTTCAAGTACGAAATGTTGTATGAATATCGTATCAGTATCTATCGTTTTACTATTCATAGATTGTTGCAGTGGTGGGCGACGAAAGCAAAAGAGATGGAAAAGGCGGCGGCTATAGGAAACACAAGACAGCTCTACAGACTAATAAAAGAAACTGGAATTAATAAATAAAGTGTAATTCAGACCATTTCGGAAAAAGACGACACCCTCATCTGCTCTCAGTCCAGACGTTTAGAATGATGGGCGGAACATTTCAGCTGGCCTTCAGCTACTCTACAACTACCCTCCATTCCCAGACAGTGTGTTTGGAACATTGAAGTAGGTCCCCCAACTCTAGCAGAAGTTCAAAAGGCTATAGTTAATCTGAAACGAGGAAGGGCAGCTGGTCTAGATGGATTGGCTCCAGAGGTCTTTAAGGATGGTGGTCCAATTTTAGCGATTAGGTTGACTAATATTTTAGCTAGGATCTGGGAGTTAGACGTTATCCCATCTGACTGGTCACAATCACTTATCGTCTCAATATATAAGAGAGGGTTAAAATCATCCTGTGACAACCATAAAGGGATTAGTTTAACTAATATGGTATCTAGAATACTAGCCTCGATAATTATCAGACGCTTAACTAAGACTCATGAACTGCAAACACGAGAGAATCAAGCTGGCTTCAGACCTGGTCGTGGCTGCATCGACCACATATTCACCATTCGTCAGATTCTAGAGCATAGGCATAATTATCGGCGTCCGAGAATGATGATCTTTCTTGACTTAAAAGCAGCATTTCACTCGGTAGACCGCGAGATTCTGTGACAGTGTCTGTCAATGGAAGGCGTACCTCAGAAGCATATAAACCTTGTGAAGGCTCTTTACTCGAACACTACTAGTCGAATCACAGCTTATGGCGAACTGTCATCTACTTTTGCAACCTCAAGTGGTGTCCGTCAAGGCTGTCCACTATCCCCATTTTTGTTTAACTTCATCATAGACCTACTGATGGAAATAACATTCTCGTCGACTGAATTTTCGGGTATTGATCTCCATCCAGGAGGTCCACTTATCGACTTAGAATACGCAGATGACATAGTCCTGTTTGGTGAAGACGCTGATAAAATGCAGTCTTCTGGTAGCACTAATCAACAATGCCAGAATGTTTGGAATGCGCTTCTCTCCCTCGAAATGCAAGCTGTTGCTTCAGGACTGGTCTGCGTCAACACCTGAACTAAGGATAGGGAGTGAAGTAGTCGAACGCGTTGACAACTTCACTTATCTTGGAAATTTGATCAGCCCTAATGGGTTGGTATCTGACGAGATCCCAGCACGGATTCGAAAAGCTCGTTTGGCTTTTGCCAATTTTCGTCACCTATGACGAAGGCGAGATATCCGTCTATCAATAAAAGGACGAGTATACTGCACGGCAGTTCGTTCTGTTTTAATTTACAGCTGCGAAACGTGACCATTAAGAGTGGAAGATACTCGTAAGATACTTGTATTTGATCTCAGATGTTCTAGAAATATTGCTCGCATCTGCTAGGATCACCGGGTAAACAATACTGAGGTTAGGCGCAGGGTATTAGGGAATGATGGTAAATCAGTTGATGAGGTTGAAAATCTTCATCGACTGAGATTGTTGGACCACGTGTTACGCATGCCTAAACACCGACTACCACGACGTACAGCGCTGACTAGTGTTGAAGATTGTTAGAAAAAAGTTAGGAGCAGCCAAAGCAGAACGTGGCATCAGTCATTGAAGGCATTCACTTCCGGTCTGAGTCATGTCGGTAGATGCACAATACTTTGTTGTGTCCGCGTGACTATCGTAATCAATAGTTAGAGACTCTGGATAACATGGCTCAAAATCAATCACAGTGGAGTAGGTGTGTACACTCTCTGCCTTCCCTTAAACCGTGAGACTAAAATCGCTTTCTATCTTTTTTTCTTCCTTTCTACCAACTAATTCTTTTTTCCTGTACTATATCTTTATATGCAATCTTTCTTTCATATATTGCTAACATTGAAGTGACTACTATGAATTCGGTGTTCATCTTGTTGTGCTAATGAGGTATGGCAAGTTGGACCGATGCATATATGTGCCTGGTCCTACGTTGTAGCTGACTGACTGACTGAGATTGTTGCAAAATTACTGCATTTGGTAATTAAACAATGTTGAACTACTCAACAATGAACAAGTAAAAACACAGAAAAGAATATCACTGTAGACATTCTCTACGAACAAGCTGGTAACGGTGTTATTCAAGAAATCTGTATGTACAATAATGGCTCGTGTGAAGAACGGGACAACAAGTTATTCGGGTTCCCCACAAATAACCCTTCATATGTACCATAGACGATAAGCACTTTATCAACGGAAGAATAGATTAATTATTGTTGACTTTTCCTACATTTTCCACTCCAGTCATCTGATGCATTCATTTCAGCAAAGTAATATCATTTATCATTTTTCCGTAAGATTTTACAACTGAAAACACCGTATAAATCAAGGACTACAACTGACAACATCAGTTACAACTATACAATATGATCAGTTTTTTAATTTTTTCGACAACACACAGAACTGTATCTATTAAATTAAGAAATTAACATTTGTAGTGGTTAGATTTGACATTACAATCCCATATAAAAACCAACAAAAATTTCATTTCGATCATTATTAGTTGCACCAACCAAAACATTTGTTCAATGTTCATAATCTTTTAACCACATTTGTAAATGTTTAACGGAACGAGTCATTCGTATAAAATCTGAAGTGTAAAATATTAGTAAATTTATCTTGTGAAAAGTATAGCAATGATATGAATTAGATCTAAAGAATATATCAAGTAATAAATATAAACTTACTTGTCCAGCTCTATGGCTTAACAGAGATAATTCTTGAGCGAGAAATTGGAATGCACTATCTTCTTGATTTCCACCTACAACAACAGGAAAGTCATATATATACATAAATCATTATTATACTTTTCAAAAAGCTTTCAAGCGATTGTAATAGTTCCAACAATCAATTTGGTTAAAAAAAATTAGAGACATAGTGATGTCTGGGCCAATGTTCAACAAAGAAAAGTAATAAATATGTTGATTTGATTATCTCTAGATACCAGGAGGTATTGCACATGAACTAATGAAATTTTGGTGCGATTTAGTGATTAAGTACAGATAAAGTTTTGAGACATACGTATTTGAAAGATAGTAAAACTACACGAGTTCCAAACGGAAGTGAAATGGTAGTCAAAATGGTTGAATTTAGAGTGTTTTAACCATAAATTCACTACTTTTGGGAATTATTAGCACCATAGTACAGAAAATGAGCATTGTAAGTTATAGTACTTCTACAGCTAATATTAATAATAACTATAATTATAGTGATAATAATAATAGCGATGATGATGGTGAGAATCTACAAACAGCATTTATTTTGGGAGTGCATCAGCGAATTTATTTTACTGACAAATTTGAGCAGTAAAAACAGTATATATAATCGTAAAAGTTAATTCAAGAATGAAATGAAAAAATCAGTTTGAACAGGTCAAACAAACTTATTTAGTATTGAAGATACGTATAAAATTTCTTTTTCATAATATAAATATATGTTGAAGAATTAGCATCATAACATACATTTAGGATCTGCATTCGGTCCACTTTTCGAAATAGATAAACATGATTTGGAGACAGAAGAACGTTGGCCGAAATCTTCACCACGATGTTGCGGGTCAATAACCTGCTTTTTTCAACATAAAAGAAAATGATCTAAATAAAACTACTCAAATTGAGATTGATAAACGTCAGACTGTAAGAAACTTCAAATTGCGTATATCATTCAAGATGTAATTGAGTTTAATAAAATTCCTGACAACTAAGCATTCATTAGTTGTGAAGTGGTACCGGTCAATATTACCGATCGAGATGGAAGATCCATGTTTCATAGTAAAATATCTAGTTTTTCTACACAAACACATTTTTGAAAACCAAATAAATTCGACTATAAACCACTAGTGAATGGGATCAAACAAGTTTAAAATAAAACTGTGTTCTAATGGATCACGTTCCTTGGTGCGCTAAGTTAGGCTTTCAGCTAAAAATGGTTGCATTCATGTTTGGTGCTAACATGAATTAGTCGGTCATAACCAATGTAGTATCTGCCATAAATTCGAGTCAGTAAACGTTTCCATATCATATCATCAATGCAAGACGGAATTATCAAGACAAAATAGCAAAAGCTAAGATAGCGATAGTATCCACTGGTGGCTTTTTTCGACAATATATTTCTACTTCAGTTAGCATTGTAAATTGAGGTAGGAGGTGGTTAGGCATATGTGACACATCTCCAACTTTTATGGTCGATAAAAAATTCCCAGATTAATTAACCGACTCACAATCTTTGCCTGATGTTAGTGTAAGTTTCACCTTACAATCGGTCAGCCTATTATTCTATTGCATACGATTAACAGAACAAAGACACTAATATTAAAACATTTTACATGTATTCCTAGTAAAAGAATTTCAAAAAGGCTGGAATATTATATAAAGGAAATCAATATTTGGTAGAATTGTAACCGAAGTAATTAATAAACACGTGGACTCTGTTGAAATGTCTTGGAATTAATTTTAAAAAAGTCTATTATAAAAAGAATATTAAACATTGGATAAAGTTTTCCTAACTTCTTAATTTGACGATAAGTCGATTATTAACAATGTCAGACCCGGCACAAATGTGGATCAGTTCAAGCCATAACACTTTTTATAAGTAAAACAAGAAAAAATCAGCAGCTTGAGAAGTAAAAAGATAGAAAATTGCAATGTTAGAATTTTGGTAATAAACAAATAAGATTTAAAATGAAATGTAAAAACTGACCTGGTCACACTTATCTCAAAGTGTGAAGGCTGAGTTAACAAATACAAAACTACAGAAACGTTAGTATGATTCATTAGTATAAGTTTACTTTCCAAAAACTGTGTAACGGTGTTCTTAAAGAGTCAAAAAATAATTTATTAACCAAATGGAAAGAGATCTAAATGACTGTATAAAGTAATAAAGATATTCGTTTTATACTCAATAGTGAATAAATTGATTACGATTAGCTGAATTATAATTTCCCGTGTTATTTGAATAACTTACTACCGACAACTTATGATGTAACTATATTCTACTAGTTACATAGACAGTGTAGAAAACATACCTTGCTTTTGAACTCCTAGATGTTTATGAATAATTATCTTTGAAAAAACATGATGTTTTGTCGAACAATATATAGTTAATTACATAATTATACAAATAAACATAGATAACCTTTAGTTTATTTAAATTGTTTGTCGAAGTATTATTAAACTTCTTTGATTGATTTGTCTTTGGATTGAAATTCGTTGATAATTTATCATCTAATAAATCTTCTGATTTTTCTTTTATTATCCTTGTTTGTTTATTTGCTTGATTTGATAATGGTTCATTATCATGATGTGAAATTGATTTAAAATGAATTGGATAAACACGAAGTATATTATCCATTGACCAAGTAAGTAAATTTACATTTTCTAAGTATAAATGTAAAAGAAATAAAATAAATTAAGCAAATTTATTATTATTGTGTAAGACAAATAAATTCTGGTAAGTAGTTTGATTTGGATTCAATTCTTAAATTAGTAACCTACAACATAAGATAAATGCTAAAGGGGAGTGCTGTAAATGAAGCACTCTCAGAGAGATTTAAGTTAACAAATTTAATTTAATAACAAACAAAACTATTAACCTGCTTTGAAATCGATTTCTAGAGTTTAGGTAAGAAATTGTAACTAGAGGATAGTATATCCATTTTAGAAACAAAATAGTATTTGTTATGTGATATCGTGGATTGATTGAATCCAGAAATATGGATAACTGAATGTAAACTTATTTGTTTAAGTAAATTATGTTCATCATAAGATTTGAATGTCTTAAGTTTTACTGTATATTGGTAATATTCATAGATGTGAACCGATAGTGAAACACAACTGAAATGAAACAGCTTTTTCAAATGATATCAATTAATAATAAAACTTGTCAACAAAATGCAAATAATTTTCCTTGAAAAAGCTTGGACCAGATTGCCAGGCGAAACGTTGGATTTACTTCAAATTCTTTCGCTGAGATTTTACAAATAGCTTCTTCCTTATTAATGTCTCACATTAACTCGGCGCCCAAATATTGTGGAAATGCAAATAGTCTTTGTAAATTACAGAAGTAAACAACAATACAAACGTCATAAACAGAGAAGAGAATCAAAAGGAATAAAATGATTTATATTGGGTATCGAAAGAAATAATGAGGAAAATTAAAGTGCTTGACGTTTGAAAAAAAACAACGGTACGAATTAGAAGGATAACAGTGAAGCAAAAAAAAGAAATAGTAACCCAATCAAAAACTATAATTACAATGTAGCTACATGATTTGTTAAAAAGGATGGTTCTTTTTAAGTTGACATGATTCTTGTCAAATATACACTTAGCTTGTCCTTATTTTCTAAATACTTTATGTACAGTTCTTTTTTATACTGCGTTTAAAAAAAATATGTACTATGTGTTTGAGTAAATAGACTGGATAATAAGATTGCATAAATGGTAACAGTAGTGATTATCCATTGATTAATTGCATAGGGCTCCATTAAGAAGTATGTCTCGAAAGATAGATATAAATATTTATGAAGTGAATAGTAATTAATTAACTATTATCAATACAGTTAATCATATCTGTTAGAATGATTGTTATATTGTTGCTTTTTTTTAAAACTACAACAATTAGAAGAAAAAATTCAAAGTGATCCATTAAAACAATGAAAATTAATCAACTAAAAAAAGGAACATCTACACTTTATTTGAAATTAAATTGACTTTTGATAAATCAAGAAGAAAATGCAAATCATCAAAATTTAATTATGTCGATGACATTTAGTTATTACAAATGAAAATTTCAACTAAACTATTTGTTAGGAACAGTTACAGATTACTTCTGATTATTAATGTTAACTTGGTCTTGAACAATTGTTGCTTAATGCCTTATTTCTTTTATTATTGGTTTTGATGAAAAACATAATTTTATCAATATTGTAGTATCAGATGGGTTTTGTGGATATTACAGTAATTTCAATGGTTGAGATCAAGAGTCAATTGAAGCTAGATCACCATGGAAAACCTGGTAGCACTGGACGGCCGTTTCGTCTTATTGTGGGACTCCTCAGCAGTGCGCATCCACGACCTGCGAGATTCGAACCCAAGGACCTACTGGTTTCGCGCGCGAGCACTTAACCACTAGACCAATGAGCCGGTACCCAACGGTGTTAATGTCTAACTTCAACTAGTAGTAGTAATTAATAAGGTTACAGTTTGATAATCTATAATTTCAAGTTAGTTATAATAATCAGACAATATTGGTCAGATTAGTTAAAACCATGATTTTATATTTACCGGATTAAAAAAATTTTTATATATGAAACAAATAAAACTTTAAACAATAAAGAGAAACATTCATAAGTTTGATAATGGAACTTACAAATGAGTACTCAAGTGGAAACTTTCAACTACATTAAACATATGTAGCTAAACGAAAGTATAAAAATTAACCTTGGATGTTAAAGAACGATCGTTTACACTCTACCTATATTTGTGCCACATGAAGCAGTACATAGGGTTGAAGGTAAACGAATTTCAGAAAATCATACAGAAGACTTTAGTAAAGGATTTTCAACCTACACTAAAGCTGTGGAATCAATAAAATATTTTTATTCACAGGCAATGTCAGGTATACCACACAGTAAAGCATTCTATACTAATGTGTGACTGAGACATGATAGTTGACGTTGAACGAATAAAGATTACATTTGCGAAATATTCTTTGGATTTGAGTGAATAACTAATGTTATAAGAACATTCAATAGGAACTGGTAGTATTCTCACAGCCAAGAATGTTTTTGTGTGAAGTTGTGAATACACAATGATTGAGTCAGGTGATATGTGTTTTATATGTGTATCTATACTCTAAATTTAAATAATAAATAAAGCAAAATGGATCTATCATGGATAGAGTTGCAGTAAGATGAAATTGTACTAATTCACGTAATGAATGGAACTGGTAAACGATCATTTTAATAGAGGGAGTTCAATCAAAGGCATAAAGCGGTGTTTGTTGAAAAAGCTAACCATTAAATTAAAGTGAATTCGTAATATTAAATGATAAAGTGGTTGAAACAATCGAGTTTTAAACAGTAGGGCGAAGATTGAGAATAACTTTCCAGCAGTTCGGATTGGATAGCCGGGTAGTACCATTAGCCTTGAAATCCAAAGCGCAAACAAATCCTAGTGCACAAGAATGTATACTAAAGTATATGAAAAGTGTAATTTGATTATTGCTTAACATATACACATATCAGATAAAAGAGAATAGGACAACCTAAAAAATAGATGTAAAAAGAAAATGAGATATTCCTTCACACTAGATAACTGTAAACAATAAAAAAACTATTAACGTTAAAAATTTTCAATATTCTATCTAACAACATTTTATAACTCTCTTGATTGATTATCAATAACTTGAAACATTTTCCAGTATAAAGAAGAGAAAAACAAAGTACACACTAACCGTTAAATTGAGTAGAATAGTATAAACCGCATAAAATATTATTGCAGCATAAGTCCAAAATGATAAATATATATATATATATATATATATATATATATATATATATATATATACTGTTAACTCAGTTATAAATAAAAACGACATTTCATGACGTATTAAAATACAACTACTTATATTTCTAGACCCTATTTTTCAATTATTGCTTAAATTGTCAGTATGGGGGTTGCAGAGATTATTAAGTTTTTGATTGAGATCATAAACCGATTGATGTTAGACCACCATTGAGAACCTGGAAGCACTAGATGGCCGTTTCGTTCTTTTGTGGAACTCCTCACCTCAGCAGTACGCATCCACAATCGCGCTCGCGGAATTCGAACCCAGAGACTTCGGTCTCGCGCGAAAACTCTTAACCTACTGGATGATTACATATATGTAGTGCATATTGAGTCACATTAAAATTATGGGGGAATAAGAAACAGATTTACCATTTCCATCATATGAACAGTAAAGAAAACAGTAACAATAAAACTACTATGAACACCATTTTGATAACATAAACAGAAGAAATTAATAACAACTACAAAAATGATATAAAACGATTTATTTATTTATTGACGTACTTTTAGGACAATATTCTAAATTTTGATTTGCTGTCGATATTTCATTATCCAGAATAAAATTTGTCGTTAATTCATGATCATCTGTCGTTGTCAGTGGAGAAAATGGGAGATTTGAAGAGGAGCATATCAACCAATTCATATCTAATATATATGAATCTGTAGAACGTGGTTGACAAATCTGCTGATCATTTATGTGATTATTATTACTATTACCATTATTATTATTGTTTGAATTCACTATACTATTAGCAGACGTTTTATTGACAGTAATTCCATTGTTATTAGTGCCACTATTATCATGGCTTTCCATTACTTGGAATAAATCATGAGATTGTGTCAAACCAGCACTAGACCACACAGATATCCCGTGAACTGACCAATGAGACTGCTCCGGTAAAATGATAATATGATCACCTGAAGGCTAGAAAAAAAAATACATAGAAGTATTAGTAATAGTAACAATCATAACAATAATTTTAATATGTATAATATAAATAAAATAAGAAAAGGTATGAATAAAAACTTGATAAAAAAGCTCTAACTCAGGGTAAAATAAAAAATGGTGGAGACTATACATAAAACAGCAGGTATTATATTATTTAAAACAAGAATGGTCCATTGTGAACATGTGATTTACAGATTTGTAGCTAGGTAAAAGCTATTATACTCGGTTTTGAACCAAACTTTATATGGATGTCAAAAATGAAGTGGTTGGATATTGATTTAAAGCACTACCTAAACTGTTGACAGTCCTGTACTTCAACCTTCAAGTCATCGCACAACTAATGGGTATCATATAAGCTTATATGGTTGATATTCACACAGGGTACAACACTCTCAAGCAAACTCTTTACAAACAAGTGGTATAGTAAGTTTCTACATCTGTAAAGGAACAATAAACAAATATTTACATGATCGCAAAGTTCTGAAAAGCTCTTATTTCATACTTCATGAATTTAATCGTAACCAATACTCCACTTGTCTAAAATCAATTCTCATTCGTGAACTTTATGAGAATTATTTGCTATAAATTCACTAAAGTTAGTATCAATCAAAACTAGGGAGCACTGGATCGATGTTTCGTCTCAGAATCTATCAGTCATGTAATATCATTAGATTTCATACAACATATGTTCACCGTGAAACTACAAACAATACAGACGACAAATAAAGTAATTAGTAAATTATAAACTTACAGTGTAAATTACTTTCTTCAGTTTTATTTCATGAAATCGAACCTTTTTCAGAGGATATGAAGGATTTTCAGTATCCCATAGACGCATTTCAGAATATTCACTGACTGTCACCATTTGATTGACATTCTGAGGCGACCAATCGAAATCACGAACGTGATCAGCTTGTACAGAGATGTACTGTTCTGGAACATTAGACTGAGTTTAAAATGCATAGGAAAAATGGTTAAAAATAGTTAACAAACCGTTTAAATAATAAATTATTGTACGGAACATACTAACTGTATACAAACTAATCCTGTACATAGGTATTCAGGTCAGGGACTTCAGGATGGGAGACCAAACAACTCTGAACAAGTTCAAATTTTTACGCTTCAAAATAATGCAGAAAAATTAAAACCTAATGGAAAGCTAACAGGAACGATATAGGTTGCAGCAGTCTCAGCATCAGTAGGCCTCAGCATACACAAAGGGAAAACTAAGGTCCTCAAATTCAAAGCGGAAAACAGAAATCCAATCACTCTTGATGGCGAAACTCTGGAAGATGTAGAATCGTTCACATACATGGGAAGCATCATCCATGAACAAGGAGGCTCAGATGCAGAAGTAAAGGCGAGAATTGGCAAAGCAAGGGTCACATTCCTACAATTGAAGAACATATGGAACTCAAAACAACTGCCAACCAATATCAAAATCAGGATCTTCAATACGAATGTCAAGGCAATTCTACTGTATGGAGCTGAAACTTGGAGAACTACAACAACCACAATCAAGAAAGTACAAGTATTTATAAATAGCTGTCTACGCAAGATACTCAACATCCATTGGCCCGGTACCATCAGCATCAGCCTTTTGTGGGAGACAACGAACCAGCTTCCAGCTGAAGAAGAAATTAGGAAAAGACGATGGAAATCGATAGGACATACATTACGTAAATCGTTAAACTGCATCACGAGGCAAGCTTTAACTTGGAATCCTGAAGCGAAGCGGAAAGGAGGAAGGCCTAAGAACACATTACGTCGGGAAATCGAAGCAGATATGAAAAAGACGAATAACAACTGGAATGAGCTGGAAAGGGTTGCCCAGTACAGGGTTGGATAGCGAATGCTAGTGAGCGGCCTATGTTCCTTCATAAGGAGTAACAGGCGTAAGTAAGTAAGGATGGGATCAAAGAGGCAATCACTTCAACATGTCATGAGGTCCTGGGTCACAAGAAGCACAATCACAAGGAATGGATCAATGTTGATACACTGGATAAGATTCAAGAAAGGAGGAACAAGAAGGCAGCAATTAATACCGGTCGAACAAGAGCAGAAAAAGCCAAGGCACAAGCTGAATACACGGAAATAAACAAACAAGTGAAGAGGAGCATCAGAACCGACAAACGTAAATATGTGGAAGATTTAGCAACGACGGCGGAAAAGGTTGCAAGAGAAGGAAACATGAGACAACTGTATGACATAACAAAGAAACTCTCTGGAAATCGCCGCAAACCAGAACGACTAGTGAAAAGCAGGGAAGGCGAGGTAATCACGAACATTGAAGAACAACGAAACAGGTGGGTAGAACACTTCAAAGAACTCTTAAATCAACCAGCTCCACTGAACCCACCCAACATCGAAGCAGCACCCACGGACCTCCCAATCAAGGTTGGCCCACCAACAATTGAAGAAATCAGCATGGCCATCAGACAAATCAAGAGTGGCAAAGCAGCAGGACCGGACAACATTCCAGCAGAGGCACTGGAAGCAGATGTAGCAGCAACTGCAAGGATACTCCACATTCTCTTCAATACGATTTGGGATGAGGAACAGGTACTAACAGTCTGGAAAGAAGGACTTCTGATCAAAATACCGAAGAAAATCGATCTCAGCAAGTGTGATAACTACAGGGGCATCATTCTCCTCTCAATACCGGGAAAAGTCTTCAACAGGGTATTGTTAAACAGGATGAAGGACTGCGTAGACGCCCAACTTCGTGACCAACAGGCAGGATTCCGTAGGGATAGATCGTGTACAGACTAAATCGCAACTCTACGGATAATTGTGGAACAATCAATTGAATGGAATTCATCACTCTATATCAACTTCATTGACTACGAAAAGGCATTTGATAGCGTGGACAGAACAACACTATGGAAACTTCTTCGACACTACGGCGTGCCTCAGAAGATAGTCAATATCATACAGAACTCATATGATGGATTACACTGCAAAATCGTGCATGGAGGACAGTTGACAAAGTCGTTCAAAGTGAAGACCGGTGTTAGGCAAGGTTGCTTACTCTCACCCTTTCTCTTTCTCCTGGTGATCGACCGGATCATGAAGACGTCAACGTCTGAAGGGAAGCACGGGATACAATGGACATCTAGGATGCAGTTAGACGATCTGGACTTCGCAGATGATCTGGCCCTTCTATCCCAAACGCGACAACAAATGCAGGAGAAGACGAACAGTGCGGCAGCAGCCTCAGCAGCAATAGGTCTCAATATACACAAAGGGAAAAGCAGGATTCTCCGATACAACACAGAATGCACCAATCCAAGCACAATTGACGGAGAAGATTTGGAAGATGTAAAAACCTTTACATATTTGGGCAGTATCATTGATGAACAAGGTGGATCTGATGCAGATGTGAAGGCGCGGATCGGCAAAGCAAGAGCGGCATATTTACAACTGAGGAACATCTGGAACTCAAAGCAACTGTCAACCAACACCAAGGTCAGGATTTTCAATACAAATGTCAAGACAGTTCTACTGTATGGGGCAGAAACCTGGAGAACTACGAAAGCCATCATCCAGAAAATACAGGTGTTTATTAACAGTTGTCTACGCAAAATACTTCGGACCCATTGGCCGGACACTTTTAGCAAGAACGTACTGTGGGAGAGAACAAACCAGATCCCAGCGGAGGAAGAAATCAGGAAGAAGCACTGGAAGTGGATAGGAAACACATTGAGGAAAGCAACCAACTGCGTCACAAGACAAGCCCTCATACCGAATCCTCAAGGCGAAAGGAAAAGAGGAAGACCAAAGAACACATTACGCCGAGAAATGGAGATAGACATGAGAAAAATGAACAAGAATTGGATGGAACTAGAAAAGAAGACCCAGGACAGAGTGAGTTGGAGAATGCTGGTCAGCGGCCTATGCTCCATTGAGAGTAACAGGTGTAAGTAAGTAAGTATTTTGTCATCCTTAAAACACTATCCAGTCTAGGAATTAGTGATGTTTTGGACCAACCAAATTCATGTATGTCGAAGTAGACAGCGACTTGACACGCATTACAAACAATCTCTACTTGTGAGGACTGACAACCTCACTGGTTGGATAAATCTCCTGTCTTCGCACCGAGCCTCAATACTATTCAATCAATAAATCCACCACATACGAGAAATCCTTCAGACACCTACGATCTAGCAGTCAACAGATATATCAACATAGAAGAATTTTTAAAATGAGATTTAAATAAAGCATTTCTGACTATATTTACCCGCAAATCCCAAGTACGAACACCCGATGAGTGACAGGTTGCAAATTTTTCACTTAAAAATCTATTCCATTTGACAATAATTGGTGAAGCTGAGAATACAAACAACAATAATTATCGAATTACTAAATTAACAAAATGTATCAAAATGTGTTAAACTTCATTGAGAAACATTCAGATGAAAGACAGAATGATCGTTTAAACTTTGAACTCCTTATCAACATGTGTACACGACTGCGTACATGATAAATTCAGGACCTTGTTGTCTCGCATTAAATGTTATACCTTTAGGCTAATTGTTAAAAATACAATGATCCGAATTTTCAGCTTCCTTAAATTCATAATACAAAGTGACTATAATTCCGTGACGCTTATGAACAATTGCTTTATTCATGTATTTGTTTGGTAGCAAATCTTGTAAGCGAAATTTATTTTAATTCATTTTTGTATTGGTTGTTTAAATCTTCCCATTGATGTTTAGAACTGCAATTGATCAGTCTCTTCTTGGCATATGTGCATCCTGTGCGGATTGCTTCGGTTTGCCTTAAATCATAAGCATTATAAGCAGAAATTCAAACAACTAACACAAAAATGAATTGAAAGTTCACGCGATTGAACAAGCTAGTGGCTATCAAAATTCAGTAGCTAAGTGGATATTGCGATGCCCTTTGAAGTGAACAGTACTGGGTTCGAGTTCTAGAGTGAACATCATCTCTGAAATGAAGGTACATACAGCTGATGAGTCCCAAATAGGACGAAGCGCGCGTCCTAGATTCCACTGTTAGCCACCATCCATCTCTGCTTAGTAAATTATTTTTTTACCGAATCCGTTTGTTCTTGTGACCTACATCCCAGAGAATGAGGAAGAACTTTACAGCGTAGTCAACATAGTCAGTTCATACTATTTCTATCTTAAATATCGATATATGTGAGTCTGCAAGCATAAACTATTCGTATGCTAATTTTCTAAATGATAATAAAGTTGATGAAAAATAAAACCATTAGAAATTATACAGATTGCATGAATAGCTGCTTTCTCAGAAAAGTGATTTTATATTTTTTTTAGTTATTCCTATTATATAATGTCCAGTTAATGATAAAAATAAATAATATTCACTGGGATTGTCTCGAGTGATAAGTGTTCGGAGATGGTACTTTATTGTTTGATTCCGTCAAATCTTTCAAAAACATAGTGGATCGAGTTGTCATTACTATTTGCCAGTACTCTTCCTGAATAAAACACAGCACATTATGTTTTCCAAACTAATCCGAATAGTTATGATGCAATCAGAATTCTAAAATGATTATAAATCAGTCAGTCTTTTTGAGGGTTGAAAGAGTTAAAGTGTTTCGAATAAAAAACTGAACAAAGACGAATATAAGAATGTGAATTTTCGACAAAGCGAAACCTGTACAATACCTATATATTTTGTTCAAACAATATTTTTTAAACAGAATAGCTTGACAAAATAATAGGTTCATTTTATTAAAAGGCCTCTCATGATATATACAAAAGATCACAAATTACAACGATTATGTTAAACATCAACTAAATTGAACAGTAATTGAATTTCAAAATCTATGGTAGATTAACGAGTTAAGCAAATAAAGAAATTATATATATAGACAGTTATTCGCGGAGATTATGTATTCTTTAAAATTAATTTTCACTACAGTCGGGAGGTTAGTCCAAGTTGTCTAGCCACAGCAGCACGATGACATCAAATGAGCACGATAAGTAGCAAACGAATTGTAGTAACGTAGTTGAAATGATAACGAGAAAGACTGAACATTGGGAATATGGTACTAAAGGATAGCATGAAAAGGTACCTACGAAGGAATACTGAGACTCAAGATTTAGAGCACGATAACAAGCGGATGCATTTTCGATGCTCTGACCGGTTCTGATCCATGTTCCTTAAAATCTCTAACCTACAGGCCGTGGTTATCGCGATGAGACCAAACAGGTAATCCACATTTTCCACTATGGATCAGAACAACAGCCATCTTTTTTGTGGATTTATATTTGCTGGAGAACTAATTAAAATCAACTGATTCAATCTGGACAGGGATATCTCATATGCTTGCACATACGAAGATAAAAATGTAGAAAACTGGATTCTGTTTCGCTGACACCCTCAACACAAAAGGTTCTGGGTGTGAAACAGTGAATGGTTCTGAGTTAATTTATGAGTTTAATGAAATAAACATACAAATTTTCTAATCATATTCATATAATCATGGAATGTGTTCATTTTCGTATACGAAAATTTGATAATTACGTTTGAAAGGAAAAAAAATCTCAGAAAAGTGCTGTTATCATTGTTATTATTATCAGTTATAATTATAATAAGCACCCATGTAGTATTAATTTTTAAAAAATGTAAGGAATGTTAAGAAAAATGTGAAAATTAGTTAAACTCAGTAAGTTGAAACCTATGAATGTAAACTGATTTCGCATATCATAATTTTTCATTCCTTTACGTAATGTCTCATTGTTTTTAGCGAATATTGTAATTATAAATATTGATATGGACATTTCTAGCTAATCATGTATAAATAAATAATAGTTTTATTAATTAAATTATGGCTTGATAACGTGTATCAATTTGACTCGCTGAGTATATAGTGAACTTTGAAATTCATTTTCTTTTATTATGGCATGTCATCAGAAAAGTTAAAGAGGTAATTCCAGGAGTTCCAGTGAGAAGTTGTAATTAGATAAACTACGTCTTGCTGGATGTGAGACAAATATCAACAATGGATAATGGTCGTTTAGTACCTGTAATCGACTGGATTTATTTACCTAAACCACTAAATACCAACTCATAGGTTTAACACTCAAGAGCCCAATGCAAGGCTTGAAGATTCTGGGTTCTATTATTAGTGTAGTTGTAGACGTGCAATTCTTAGTCCTCAATTAAGACGAAATAGTTGTTCATCCCTTTCTAGTTTTCAATGAGTATCTAACTGAAGTGAGTTAATAATGTGATACTTCGAACTCAATCTTAATAACACTCTATAATGTCAATAGCTTAATTAATATGCATCGTAATTGATGTAATTCTACGTTATTTAAGCATGGTAAGTTTATCCTATTAAATTTATATATCTTACGAAGGCGTACCTCTTTTGTAAAATAATAATACCGAGTATTAATCATTAAGGATAGTAGCTTTAAATCTATTTATACATAAAACGACAATTTCATTGAATGTCCAGAAGTTCTATTGAATAAATATAAAAAAATCAAATTAGAAACTAAAAATAAAAGATGCAATTGAATCAAGAAAAAAAAATGAGATAGAAATAAAAAGGACTAACTTCAAAATAGAAATAAAAATAATGATAAATATGAATAATCGAAACAGGAATTTAATTTATGCATATAGATGATTCATCCACTCAATTTTTAGTGAACAAAATTCAAACAGATTTTTATACTGAATCAGAAAGAAAGAAAGAGAGAAAGAGAGAGAGAGAGAGAGAGAGAGGAACATTGTAGACAGGCAGATAGGCAGGCAAGTATGTAGGTAAAAAGAAGTTGGGAATAATCAGTAGACAACAACAACAACAAAAAATAAATATAGCAAAATGAATTTCCAAAAGGAAAACATGGAAGGCAAAGATATAAGTGTAATAATTTGTTTATATGATACATGGGGGTCATATATTTCTCTTTATTATTGTTCTTTTTTTAAATAGAAATATTATTGTTTCACCTAATCATAATATTATATAAATGTTATCTTATTTCAATAATGATGTCTATTTCATTTTTCTCCATTATTATTATGAATAGTATGTAGAATTAGCAATAGTAATCTATAATAAAACAGAAACTAGTTTATACATGTTTCAAAGAGATAGAAAAGAAAGAAGAAAAAAAGGTGAACACATTTTTATCTGATGTCTCATTGTATAAAAGTAAAAACAACAACAACAACAACAACAATAAATTGCCTACAGAGAAAAGTATAATGAATTAAAGTAGCGTGAATAGAGAAATTGTAAAAAGAAACAACGAACAAGCAAACAAATAATTTATCTTTATCTCTTTTTATTCTGTAATATTCATGATATTAATGATAGTTTTATCATAGATTGTTTAAATAAATTGATAGTTGTAAAATTAAACAAATACAATATAAGTCAAGGTATTTCAACCTGTTAGTATTATACATTGAATAAACAGTTAATTTCAAGTATGAGAATATAGTTTCCCAAAGAATTATGCTTTGGTTAATTAGATTTTTTGATCATTGATCATACTAATTAATCAAGACTTTTATTCAGTTTAATTAATGGATTATAGAACATGAAATCCTTCTGAATATAAGAAATGCAATATTAAAAGAACGAGAGTAAAGTGTCTTAAATTACAGTGAACACCATATAGAAGATTAAGATTACTACCGAAAAGTATTTTGTAAACCTCATGTGCCAGATAAGTACAGAAATAAGTTGAAATCGTTTTAAACTGGATGACGGTTTTCAACGACATCAAATAATAATATCTGAAATCTGTTTCAATTCTTAAAAAACTCCTTATTAAATTGAATAATGGATAAGTGATAGACTTACAAAGAGATTCCATAGATCGAACTGGTCGTGACATATCCCTTAAATCCCAAACACAAATGGCACGAAACTGATCTGCGGATGTAGTAGCTATAAGAAATGGATGAACTGGACTCCAATCCAGTGAATTGATCACACGAACATATCCACCCAGACTAGTGTTTGTACTTAATCGACATTCATTGACATCCCAAAGAAGAAGTTCACATTTATTAGAACGCTAAAGAAATATTGAGAAATCAAAGACACCAACATATTTAACAGTACACAAGGCATCTTAAGTAAACAGCCACAGATTTATGTAATCATGTATATAAAAAATGTTCAGATATAAGCAGTGAAACAGTTTATTATGAAACGGTGACTTTATAGTATTACAGTTACTAATGGTCGTTACGTAGCTATGTAGAAAAGAACTATATAATTACAGTATATCTTTTTATAAATAAACACGAAAAACAAAAAATATTTGCCCAAACTTTTGAAAAAATAAGTTACGTCATTGGGAAATAGTTTAAATGATAAGCACATGGACCATTAAGGCGTTAGTCAATTATGGACAATTTAGGACCTGGGACGAATAAGTACTGATCCAGGTTGTAAAATCTCGTATAATAGAGATCAGAAATTAGTAAGATGAGAAGCGTAGTTTTTGGTGGAGTTTTGTTCTCTGAGCTGGATGGTTTGGTCGAGGAGCTTTCATAGTTATTCCGAACGATATCATCAGCACAAACTTCAGGTAGAAGTGAAGTGTTTGGAGAAGCATAGTAAAGGAATTAGTAACAAATGAAGTCAAAAACTAAGGACAAAATGTATGGTTTAAAAGGGGTAAATGAGGATGTAAGCATGGAATAACACTAAACTCAAGATTTAGAGAAAGATGGAGAACGGATGCAAATGCACCGCTGCTACAAGATTTAAATCATATAACCAAATATATCCAACCAAAGATTACCTTGATCCTGAAAAGGCCAAATAAATCTGCGCGTACCTAAGCGAGAAGTGACCAAATCCAAAACATAACATATGTTTCATATTACCGAGTATTCAAATTGACATTTGACAGTAAACAAAACACACAATAAACTATTTGATTTAAAAAATTGGATAGAAGGTAAACAGCTATGACTTACTGCAATTGCAAGTTTTGTATGATCGTTTGGATGCCAAGCAAGTCCAGAGCATCCTAACTTTGAAGGTAAGGAAAATGCACTGTACTGTGAAGGATGTTTCAATGGGCATATTACAAGTTCATCAGTTCTAGATAATAAATAAAAACAACAAATAGTATTTGTACAACCTTACTAAAGTTATACGAATTTGTCATGGTTTAAACATAATTTGAACAATGAGGTTAAATTAGCAAAAGGTAATCCAAATTCACACTCTATATTTCTTTATACATCACCATTGTCGATTTAATACAATATGCTTTAAAAAACTACAAAACAACTGTACTAATTCATTGGGCAGTGAAAATCTTTCTTCAATTGTTACTTTTAATCACAATTAGTGAATAAAAGGAGTTAAATTTGTCAGCAGATAATTTAGTCCTAGCAGATTGTTTCATATTGAAACTAGAAAACAACCAATTTAACTCGGTAATCGATTGATCTAACCTGAACAAAAGATATAAAGACGACACTTTTGTCATTTTCAACGAAAATATTGAATTAATTGACACTTTGAGTTCTTTTAATACATACTATACTTTCCTAGACTTTACTTTAGAAAATGAATCAGGCCATTTTATCTCACTTCACGATATGCTTCTGACAAAGTGTGATGAAACCTTAAAAAGGTTCATTTACAGAAAACAAACATGGAATGCCCAACTAACCAACTTCTATAGCTGTATTCCATTAAGTAGAAAAAGAAATCTTATTCGGTACTTGTGTTACCAGATAAATACGATCTATGGTACTAAATGCACTGAAAACTTGAGTTTCTCAGAAAAACGATGGCTGAAGTCGGTTATCCAAGCCGCTTTGTAGAGAACACGAAGGAAATTCGGAGCAAGGAATCTGGAAATTCTGTCCCAAAGAAATATTTTTGTATGAATCCGGAATTTAAGGGCGACCGAAATTCTGATGCATTTGAAAATCGGCTATCGATAGATGTGCGATAAAGCTGAGACTAAAGTTTACTAGTAGAAATTTGTCTACCGTGTGCGTTAAGGTTAAGTTCCCACATCTAGTTGCTCCTATGTGCATCTACCAGTTCACTTGCTCTTGTGGAGCAAGGTACATAGGTTTCAGCCAGCGCTCGCTTTTAACTCATACGATAACATGTTCCAGTGTGATTCTATAAAGGTGAGAGAAAAGAGTTAAGAGTTCTGTTCAGGAATATTTAATCTTTAGTGGCCCTATATTTAAATGCCAAGTAAACTGGATAATGATGTTATCGATGGGCCCACCACTTTTAGTGTGACTCTTTATCTGACTTCAATTAAATCGTATTATGATTGCCGTAGAAATACACATCCCAGATACCCTCGGTATAATCATCGACTTCACTCGCGTTAGTGAATAACGGAATTGAAAGAGTCAAATACGAGGAGTGGTTTCGAATATGTATATTTCACACAATCGTTGATCCAGACAGACGATCAGAGAAATGAGGCGGAGAAAGCGAAGAGGAAGGAGGGAAGCGAAACGAAACGACGCTTAGAGGAGAAGGCAACTGAGACAACCCAATTTTGATCAAGCGAGATTCAACATTTATATTCGGACAAAAATAAATTACAGACGCTTGATGAATAGGGTAAGTAATTAACACATATACGATCATATAAAAAAAGTCAGGATTAATAAGCGAATAAATGACAAGGTCAAAATGTAGCTTGAGAAGAATGAATAAGCTAGTTTGTCCAGAAGTTCGAATAGCCTATGTGGGTTTGACATGATACCAGCCACTACAAGTCGATCCTAGCTACGCCATTGATCCACAGGCTGATTATTTTTAGGTTGCTTATATAATTCGTCCATAACTACCAAGATTTCTTCATTCACAACTTCTTAAAACAACAGATCTTACCTTCCATGAAATGAAGACATAAATATATGCACAAAAAATGTACGTCCTGTTCTTAAATTTACTATGGCCTTAATCCATCATTATTATCACCTTTCACAAGCTAATAGCTATCAGGACTCAGTAGCTAAGTGGATATTGCGATGCCCTTTGAAGTGAACGGTACCAGGATGAACATCAATTCTGGGATGCAGGTACATACAGTTGATGAGTCCCAAATAGGACGAAGTGAGCTTTCTATATTCCACTGCTAGCCACTATCCATATCTGCTTATAATGCTTGTGAATCAAGGTAATATCGAGGAAATCCGCACAGGATTCACGTATGTCAATAAGACACTGATCAAATGCGGTCCTAAACATCAACGAGAAGATTTGAACAAACAATACAAAAATGAATTGTAATTATTATCTTTTTTTCATTTCATATTAGAAAATATCCCCCTATGATTAATTATTTCTCACATTCTCATGACTCAATTCATAATTGTTTCAGACATCATTTCATTTAACCCCTCTATTACCTTTAATTATTGTAACGAAAACATTTTAATTATCTTATTCCATCCACATTATAATCCACTGTTAATGTATGAATAATACAAGGCATTTTATTTCCACACACAATCGTGTCATTATTGGCACTAAGTAATCTAGTATTATAACTTTCCCATTATATATATATATATATATATATATATATATATATATAACTCACCCACATAATGCAACACAACGTCCTATAGGATCAGCAGCAATTTGTGAGATCTATAATAATGATAATAATAATAATAATAATAATAATAATAATAATAATAATAATGGCGAAATACACAAGATTAATTAACATTTTGGAGCATTTAATTAAATATTAACATCCTATATACGAATGAAGCAGTTCTCAAGTTACATTTTGAGCACAAACACCTAACTAAGATGTCATCAATAAACTTACACAAATGTAAACTTGTGTTAATTTAATTCGGTTATTTATCCACTCTGAAGAAGTGGCTTACATATTAAGTTACGAAACGTCAGAAATACAACTCTTTTACTCATTGGGTTATAGCAAAAAGTATATTTATAATCAGGAAATCTTATGTAAAAGATACAAGTGAGATCATCTCTGATCACTTTTTTATACCAATAATCTAGTAAGTAATGGTTTCTAAAGTAGATAGAGGTCGATTGTATATCAGTCGTCATAATTTACGCACATAGACGACATAATCAAATAATTTGCTGTTGTCACTTAAAAAGTTATACTTCGGAATATTCACCAAAAGTGATTATGTCCATCAAAGCAATCGCTTATCAAGTTACTTATGAAAGCTTATGAACAAGTCAGACTGATTTCAAATTGGTAACAAATAAAGAAGTCATTAGCAAATCATCTCAAGAGACAATAAAATATGACATACCTGGAACCCTTTTAATTCCAATAAACTTGTATTATGGTTAGTCTACAAATTGAGATAAACATATGCATACGTATTAAATATGTAACAAACTATAAATAAGATCTGAAAAATATATCACTAAAATGACTAAAAATATACAGAGAATAAACGTTAACTTGAACAATCGGACTAGCAATACATCAGAATACCAGAAATTGAAGTTCATATCGGTAGAACAGTTAGCACAGATAAAGTTAAATTCAGCGAAAGTGACGATGAGTCATTTGTAGGACAGTCTCCAAGCTAAAATTCCAAGTTTATAACCTCTAATATTACTAGGTAGTCTGTATACACAAAGACAAACAATAGAACGGTTCAACGGTGCAGGTATTTACTTTTCATAAAATGAACTAATAAATTCAAATTTGATACACCAACTATTGCCCTACAAAAGTCCAATGGGGTTTTGGATGGAGACAGTAACACTTAAACTGTTTTTGGAGCTATAATAGGTTCATGCTAATTACTTTCTATCAATTCTTCATACATTCATCTATCTATTACATAAAATCCCAACGTATATTACTGCTATATAAATATTAGGATGATTATTTCAGTCATTTGAATTATATACCAAGTACAGGTTTATGTGATTGCTAACGAACCATTATTTCCGTGTACAAAAGCTGATGATACTATATGGTTGAACGGATAAAAGTATATGGAATAGGATCCAGACCCGAGACCTATTTGTTAAATAGTAAGAAGCTAACACCCCACTAAGTTGATTTCTTGAAGCAAACTAAAACCACAGATAAACGTGCACGCAGCTGTTTCTAAGAAAACTAACACGATATACAACTTAGTAGTTATTTATGAATTAATACACCTCACCCTATATGAATTAAAATAAAACACATAAGACTACGAAAGTCTACAAGCCTAGATAAATTATTATGTATATAGTTCTATGAAGCGCCATTTTCAAACAAAGCTACCGTTTTATCAAGTTATAATAAGTACACCCAACTTTCGTTCAATATTCTCTGCAATGCATCTAAGATACTGTCATAACGTAAAGAAACTGATAATCATGAATAGATAGTTGAATAGCTAAGTTCCTCACTCGCATCATTTAGGACAATCTGAAATAACTTCCCATGACAAAAAAGCAAATAAAACTCAAGATATGACACAGACTAGCTACCAAAAATATCACAGTTGTGACTTAACTGGTGAATCAACATATGCACTTCTTTGAAAATACGAATAAATTGTAGACAGTATAATGGTGTCTTAAATGCTACATTCTTAAGCTTTTATTTAACACTTATAGTAAGTGGTAACAAATGAGGTGAAGTTGATTTGAATCAATCACGAAATGATAGACAATCGAGTACATGAACCACTACTAGACGACAGTTCCAAGTTTGAAAAAGTATAATTTAATACATAGGACCGTTAGAATACTGTGATAAACTGTCTAATAACATAACACATTTAACCAGATCCAATCTGTAATTACTGTCATATACATTACAATCTATAAAGGACGAACAAAAGTCAAGTTAACAGTAAGCAATAGAAGACACTAGCGCTAGAACTTTAAAACATCATATTCCTCTTATTAATAAGTCAGCAATCAGGGCATCAACAAAAATTCAAATAAGGCGCAAAACAATACAACATGGTGTGTATTAAGATAGCATTGTAATAACATTAGAACTATACATTTATGTATAAAAACTTTACAAATATATACGTATATGGGAAAAGTGAAAAACAAAAACAATAAACGACAATAGAGGAAGAACAAAGAAGATTATTAGTTGAGATCAATCATACTACATAAAATAATTTTGCATTATATTAAAAACAACAAAATATGATAAACAGGATCAAGTGTGTTCCGAATAATAATAATAATGGTAAAAATAGTAATAGAAACTTCTGAAAAAAAACCTGGTAGAGTGAAATAAACGAAGAATTTTTAACATTATAATTGGTAGCTAAACAATAAATATTCTAATTGGAGACCATAAATATGTGCACAGCACATTGCCTTCGTTGAATGTGAAATGTGAACAAAAACAAAGAGGAAAGTTAAAAATACAGAAATATAATACACCTACATGAATATTCACATATTTGACTTTTTTTAAAAAAAATTGATAATATATGTACATTTACAACACGGTAAATATCGAATAAATAAAAAGTGTAATTGTTACAGTACGTGTATAAAGTATTAAAGGCACTAAAGAGTGACTTCCTTTATTGATAGATATTTCTTATTTGATACATACAACAACAAGATATGACAGGTTTGCATTAAATACATTTCATACATAGCAGACATTAGACCATATTTAGTGCATCATTTTAATATTTTAGTATTTTAAGTAAAATTTCTCGATGAAATATAATGATTAGTTACTTTCTTTAAAAAAACGGTAGTAAAGGAAAAAAATTAGACAATTTTATACAATCAGAGTAAAAACTATCATCACACGAAAATAACTCCTAGAAAAAGAAACAAAAAAGAAGAGAAATTAATTAGCTAGACATTTCTAAGGCAGTAGCTCCACTGCTATCTGTCATTGCACTGGTGTTTTTAGATTCTGTTGATAAACGTGGATGTGTCTGGGTTATAGATACAGAGCAAGTAGAATCTTTATGATCTGGTGATGAATGTATTTTTGGTTCATCATCAGGAAAAGTGTAATGATTAGTAGAGATGCTACAATTGATATTACTGGAAAAAGAACTCTTATTGTAGACAACTTTTTCGTTTGCCATTATAGACTCTTCATACTCTTGTCCATTTTGCAGTCGCTGTTTACAATTAGACTTCGGTAATTCTTCAAATCGTTGACGTTTTTGTGGTTTTAAGTTTGCGTCCAATTGACTAGAAAACTTCTTGAATCGTTTTGATGATTTTTTGGATTTTGTTACATTAGCGACATACTTGTCGCTGCCACTACGTAAGGAACGGTAACTAGTAGGAGACATTAAAGAGTTTATTTCTTTTGATATTCTACATTTTGACTGACAACCACGTGGAAGAGAGGATAAACCTATGCAATTACCGCGACTAGAACCACTGGTCAGTTTCTTTCGCTTTAAAGGTGACATAGAGGAAGTACAGCGTAATCTATCTTCTCGGTGACTCCGGCGGCTCTGAGATGAACAAGATGAATTCAAAGAGACAGTTCGTAAAACGGACCGCCTGGATTGTTTGGTTTCACGAGAGCAGAGCTTTGGTTCTGTAGATAAGCTAGCTTTAGGAATGTTTTCTTCTTCTTCACACTCATCATCACCATCATGAGCGGCTTGTTCAGCCTCAAGAGCAGCTTGTTCTTTTTTTACATCAAACAGGCAAGGACCAATTGAGTTAGGTGGTGAGCTTGCTCTGCTTAGTGTGTTGCCTCCTGCTGAACTGGATGCAGGTGAGTACGATCTACAAGGGCGCATAGGCTCCTCAACTGGTGATGGACCAGATCTTGTCATACCAAAACTAGGCTTTGATGGATATTCGGAAATTTTAGGAGGCTTAATATCAATTGGATCGTTAAACTCGTACTCCGAAAGATGGTGTGGCCGTGGGTTAATAGGCACATTGGTCAGTGAGTCTGTTGACGATATATCATCGGCTAAAGTATTCGGGTTGGGTCCGAAACCCTGAAAAACAAACGGGAACCATTAAATACGTAATACCAACGATTAATTATGAATAGTATACGATATCAAGGGTATAAATCAATATTAACAGTTGGAAATAACATAAGTCATACATTAGTCTACGACCCCATGGCCGAAACAAAGGGAAACTATTAACAAACAAAAACCTAATGAGGCGACAATTAGTACAATGTTTCAGGATTAAGAAAATCATCTGAAAACAGAGCCGAAGTACCAAAGACACCATTACCTTACCCTAAAATATATTACGCAGATTTATGATGCTTAAGACAGCTATTAGTTTTTATATGTAAGGACGAGATAGTTGAAATTTCAAAAAAACAGTGTAAAAATATTGAATATCACAAAAAGGAGTGTCATTATGAGTTATCACACTTTGCAAGACATACATTGAAAAAATCGATAAAACAGCGTTAAAGTAAATAATAGACGATTGTTGCATAATAAGATACTCAGAGTATAAGAAAAAAGGTTGATGAACTATACACATGAAGGGCTGTCATTGATTTAACGCAAACTACAAATCATCTAGCAAGCAAATACTAACACTAGCCCGACCCCGCGGTTTGTCTTTTCCAAAAGTTCTGTCCTGTTTAAATGGTCTGGCCGATTTTCTGGGTGATCAACAAGTAGGATTTTTGGTGTACTTCAAAAAATGCCATTCATAACTCTAATGAAACACTAAAAATCCACCTGTTGTCGACTCGAAAAGTATGTCCCATGTGAGTGTCAACGGGGTGCGAAGTCACACTTAACTTCAGTGAGGAGAAAGTCCTAACAGAGCAAGTTCTCATTACCGGTAGTTTATGTGCTGTAAGGTTAACAGTTTATATCAATGTGAAAAGAACTGACATCGGAAACTGTGCTATTTTGCAATCTACACCTATGCTTCGATAAACTACAGCTCGGATACAATAGAGAATAAATTACATTAACAATTACATGACCTCAAAAAAATGTTCAACGGATATAATGGTGCTAGCTGGGGACTGAGTGTAAAGATCAGACAATTACGAACAAAGAGTTGTTCCGATAAACAATCAGGAGTTACTGGTCGTAGGTTAATTATCCAGATCAAAACCCATTTCTGGTCAGCCCCAACTTTCATGAGCCATTCCCAATATACTATCTGGAGTTTTCTCTCTCCTCTAATTAAGCCTGGACTCAAAGTGATCACGTTGCAACCACCAACTGGCGATGGTGTGGATGTGCAAAAGATTGTCAACTATTTTGACTCTGGTATGCTCCAGAATGCACTTGAGTCATCTGTACATTTTGATGATCGTCAAACTTATCATAGTAAATAGATTAATTTCAGGACATTGGCTGCACTTACGATTAGATTCAAACATCCAACACCGGTTTAATTATTTAATACCTGTTTCAAAAATGACGTCCTAGACGTTTTTATGCAGTACATTACTTAATAATCCTGAGTGAAGACAATTGGAAATTGGTACGTTTATGACTCGGTCTTATGAAACACAGGATATCTTTGTTAGGTAAGAACTCATTACTCTATCCCGAGTTCCTCAAAATGGTTTTAAAGACCATGCACACTAACGGTTTGAGATCTCAGACATGCTCTAGAAAAGAATCCAGTGGATATACAGTTGGGAAAGTGGAAGAAATCAACTTGACACTCTGGACGTAAGTTTCGATTTAGGTGGCACTCATCAGTGACGGATATCTGAAGTCATGGTGGAAGTGATGCTTTTCGTGTGGTGATAAATAGCACTCCTCAGAGTCAAAATCTGGAGCGTTAACACTGGGCTCTAAGCACTGACTGCTTTCTCTCCCTCTAGTAGAGCTGAGATTATCACCTAGTATTTACCAATATACTAATGCTTTATTAGTTTTGTTTTATTATTCACAAAAGTAATAAACACTTTAACCGGACGTATTCTATCTTAGTTGTCTTCTTAATTGGACTGTATCTTTTTGGTAAATACTGTTTTTAAATAACAACTTAAATCGACGTACATATGTTTCAGTTTTTACGTCGCGCATGACTGACTGGCTGATTAAAATATCATTCTTGATATTTATTGATTTTATTACCTCTCATTTTATTCTTGGTCTCCAATTATACCAAAGACTTGTATTTGTTATGAAATCGACAAAACAAGTGATATGGTATTTTTTAAAATTTTATAATTAAAAGCTGGACTCTCGTAGAAGCGCCAGTAGTGATAGTTGGCTAGTCAAACTGAAATGGATGAAGTCCTATTTAAGCTTGCGATTCAATATTTGGAAGTCGGAAACTCGGACTAAGAAATGATAATGTGAAGATAATCAGATTTGGCAATGACAATCAAAAGACGTTAAGTAACTGTCGTCATATGAAAATCATATACGAACTGTTTCGGAATAAATTCACACGACGGATCGTATTATAGATTTTGACAATTTTTCGTCAATCAGTTTATAGAAAGGGGGGTTAGGCATAACCTTGTTGTTACCACGCATCACAAAACGAGAGGCGAAGAGGTAAAAAGGAACAAACTTTATTTGTTGAGACATCCAATTTTATTCATATCGAACTGAGTAGTTCGAGTCCTCTTTAGGACATACTGACATTCAGGTTAATTAGACGAGGAAACATATACAAAGTGAGACCTAGCACGAATAAGCCCCGGCCCCAGTTTCCAGGCTTCCTGTCTGCAAAGCAGGACAAGACCAGCAGGGTGGGGAGCACAGATGGTAAAACCAACAGTGCTGGGAAGATAAACAGTTGTTGGGAAGGAATGCATAAGATAAGAGAATGAAAAGTGTGGAATAACACTAAACTTAAGATTGGTTGGAAGATAGAGTATGGATGAGACTGCATTAGTGCAACCAACGGTGTCGTGTCAGCCGGCGTCACCAACTATTCATTATGATTATTGCCCTAACCTCAACTAGGAGACAGACCTAATGTACTGATGTTATGTCTTGATGTGCAAACTATCTGCTTCTTTCTAGCCGACTCATGTACCAGTAAGGGTTACTCAGCGGGGAGTCAATTGTCAGTCAGTTACAACGTAGAACCAGGCATATATATGCATCGGTCCAAGTTGCTATACCTCATTAACACTGCAAGACGAACACCGGATTCACAGCAGTTAACTCAATGGTGTAATATATAAAGGAAAGATTTTATGTTAGGATATAGTACAGAAAGAAAGAATTAGTTGGTAGAAAGAAAGATATAAAGCGATTTTATTCTCACGGTTTAAGGGAAGACAAAGATTGTATACACCTACGCCATTGTGATCTATTCTGAGCCATGTCACTCAAAGTCTCCAACCATTGGTTACGATAATCACGCGGACCTCAACCAAGTAGTTTGCGCCTACCAACATGACTCAGACTAGAAGTTAGTGCCTTCAATGACTGATGCCACGTTCTGCTTTGGCTGCTCCTAACTTTTTTCCAACGATCTTCAACACTAGTCAGCGCTGTACGTCATGGTAGTCGGTGTTTAGGCATACGTAAAACGTGG